TTGTGCGTTTGAGCACCCTGAGGTGTTTGGAGAGAGCCTTCTCCAGCTCTGTGTGAAACTCCACCCAACTGATGCAATCATTTTGTTGATACTCTGTTTTAAGGTTCATCACTGTGGTTTTACCCATGCCATTTAGGTATTACTGTATTCTCCTCCACAAGTAGAAATACCCAATGAAATTATAACAGAATCACAGATCCAAAAAATGGTTTGGGTTTGCAGGGTCACCTCCCACCAGACAGGTTGCTCAAAGCCCCATCCAGCCTGGCCTTGGACACTTCCAGGGATGGGGCATTCACAGCTTCTCTGGGCAACAGTGCCTCACCACCTTCTGAGTGAAGGATTTTTTCTTTGTATCTAATGTTAACCTACCATCTTTTGGCTTAAAATCATTCCTCCTTGTTCTACCACTGCACTCCCTAATAAAGAGACCTTCCTCCAGATTTCCCGTAGGTCCACTTGGGGCTCAAGGTCTCCATGGGGTCTCCCTGAATCTTTTTCTTCTCCAGGCTGAAAAGCCCCATCTCTCTCAGTATTTCTTCACAGGAGAGGTGCTCCAGCCCTCTGAGCATCCTTGTAACACCAGTGCTTTCTTTTGGCCTCTTCCTGTCTTTTCTACAGCAGTGTTTACTTGAGGTTGTTGTTGCTGCCTCCTGTTTGCTCTGGAAGATCCAAACCAACATGTTGATACATAGGTCCAAAGAGGCAGTCAGCAAGGTAAAAAGTTCATGGCTCATCCCTTGAACGAGAACAAAATTTAAAAAAAAAATTTTGCATTGTTTGGTAGTCTGTGAGACAGCCAGAGGATTTTCAGTGTCTTGTTCGTTCAAAATACCAAGGAACAATTTTTAATTAAAGCATCAGTTAAAAAATACTTTAATTACAATATCAGACATCATTGCCAATAATGGCAGACTTTCAAGCATCCTTCCCTACACAAAAGTTTTGAATACAGGCGTATGACTAATTGTGGTGAAAATACTTTTATTTCTTACATGGTGACTACTGTGCAAGGACATCTCACTCCAAACCTTTCGTTAACTTGAGTTTTTAATATCAAGTCTTTTGTACAGGCTCTGATGTTTGGTCAAATGTGACTATTTGAAGTTGGAAGCCTGCTCTGCATTGTCTTTCTCTTACCTACCTGTACCAGTCAGTTAAAGCAATCTTGCCAATACAAATGCGGATCTATGCTTAGTTGTGGCTGTGCCACCTTGTAACATGAAATCACCAATAGATCTATACAGAGAGTATACAAAATCTCCTTAAGAACAGAAACATTTAAACTGAGGTTTTAGTGTTGTATTCTTTTTTCCTTATTAGGGAAAGGAAACCACCTTCTTTTGAGTCTAACCTAAATTTCTTGCTAGCTAATAACACCTATGTTGACCTTGATATTGAAGATACATTCACCTTGAAAGAGGATGTAAAGTAGTTATCCTAAGCCTCCAGGAAAGCCGAGTGCTTCTTTGACGTGCCTGGTAAGAAGTTTTTGGCCCTCAACAGCTCATCCTTGGCTCACTGTGCTTATTTATAACTAATTCTGCCTACCTATATATCACACTTCTTCAGATGTCTGGGAATCTTGAAACATCCATTAAATCAAACATACAGAGCAACAGAAAATATCTACAACTTCAGCATCTCCTATGGAGTAGCTCCTGCCAAAGATACTACCAGGCATTACAACATTTTCAGCTCTGATACGTTATTGATCAGTTAAAGGAGGAAAATAAACAGTGCATAGGAAATTATAGTCCTTAAAACAAACAGCTCAAATTAAAAAAAAAAAGTAAAAATAAAAAAATGGAGATTTCATGGACACGAGTGTAGGTGGTACACATGAGTCCCTCATGCCTAGGAGAACTATTGTTCTAGCTTTGTAAATACAGCAAAAATGAGGCATATCCATAAAACCTGAAGAGAAAACAAGATTACAGTTCTGTTAAAAACAAAGACAAAGTTGATCAACAGCAGTGCCACTGCTAGAACTGCTAAGCTCTTGGAAACTCTTAAATCAGGTTGAATGAAACACGAGCAATATGACGTAAGGAATCATCTTTCAGCCTAACAATGATGTCACTTTACTTAAACATGTGATGAACCTTTTTCTTATCATTTGGTGTATGATTTGCAATGATTCCACAGAATTTCTTTACAAAAACAGTACTAACAACCTGAAAATCTTGATGAAATGGGTGACTGCAATATTTTGCTAACTGAAATTTCATGCCAAATTTCCTGGCCAACTAGCATGTGAAGTGTAGTTTACCTTTCTGTGCCTTAGTGGATAGCAAAAATTGTGCTGCCATATGCAACCTTTTCTTGTTTAAAATTCAGGGAACATCAACGGGACTTTGATCAGCCAGTGAGCATGGCACAGACCCCTTAGGCTGGAATGAGATAATTAAGTTTGTCAGGTGCTTTGGTGTCCTTCAGAGCGACAGAGCTGTCTGAGTCCTTTTATAACAGGTGATTTGTTCTACCTCCAGGTGTGTACTAGAGGCTTTGGCTGACTTAAACACAAGTCTCCTGTTTCCATTCAAGGTCAGGATTTGGGCTGAGCTGTGGCCTGACATGGAATTGTGTCCAAGATGTCATAGCCACAGTACCTGTCCCCGGCCCATGATTGCCATGGCTTTGACTTCAGGAACACATTGCTCAGACATCTTAACTCTGTAAATGCACTCATCAGGTTGGCAAACTGTGTTATCTGCAGCAGAAACCACTTGCCTGTATTGCACTGCACCAAAAGTGTTTCAAACGAGTGAGTGTCTGTGTTACCAGTGGGGGGGAAATTCACAGCCGTGGGTTAATAAAAGCCTTCACCCATCAGTTGCTTTGTAGCACCTGTTCTAAATCATTTGGGAGAAGAGGTTAAAAAACTTTTAAAAATACATATTTTAGGTCATTACTATTGTGCTTTTATTACATGCTAACTTAGGAAAGGAATAGGTTTGAATTCTCCACTGCAAGCAAGAGAAAATAAAGTATGTTTAATGGCTATGATTTGTAAACATTAAAACAGATCCTGCACCATTAAGAAGGGCAAAGTTCCCCTGGGGTCTCTACAGTTTTCAGGCTTATTGCCGAGCAGTCCTGCTTGTTTTTGCAGACAAGGAATGAAATGGCTCACAATTTTGATTTCTCCTGTGCCTTGTTTTGGGGGGTGAGTGGGTAAGCACATTTTTACTGAACAATGTTGAAGCTGTATTTGGAATGCAGGACATTAAAATCCTCTATAATTTTCTGCAGTGTGTGGGCTTTTCCATTAGAAATGCTGGTGCCCTTCTACAATTTCTTCTCCCTGTCAGCTCTTCCTTTGCAGCACCGTCCTTTCTTTCCTGACCTTTCTGGGAGTTCTTGACCACTCATCTCACCCAGGCTCTGCAGTGTGTCAGCACTTGCACTGAACAGCCCTCCAGGCTGTCCCTTGGCTTCCTGCAGGCACCATTGCAGAAGAGACCCATGGACAGCAGTTTCCTGGCAGTGAGAGGGAGAAGATGTCTGCCTGAGAACCCCTGAGAACATTTTCTGTGCAGTCATTCCTGTGACTTGTGGTGGGTCACACAGGTGCGAGGGCTGTTAGTGCAGGGCTGTGGGTCCGGGGACCTCCAAGGAGTGCCCCGTCCTGTGGCAATGCTGCAGTTTGTAGGAGCTTGTCATGAAGCCTTGCAGCAAAATAATAGATGTTGCCAGGCATGCTGGAAGAAAAGGGAGAAGTTGTTGATGTGCAGGGTGAAGAGCAGAGGTGTATGAGGCATGTGGAAGGAGAGGAGGGTGAGAGAACAGAGAATGGAGTGGAAAGAGCATGGAGGCCTGAAACAGAGACACAGAAAGAGGTCCCAGGCATGGTGGAAGGGAAGACTGGGTTGAACAGGTGGTAAATGAGAACAGAATGAGAAGAGAAGCACAGAAACAGAAGTAAGCACACACAAATCTCCTGAAAGACGGCAGAAGGAGGTGGGGCAGTGTGGGAAGCCAGCCTGTTGGGAAACCAGTGGGTAATGGCAGCACAGGCACTGGGCAGGAGGCCGATGAGGCGAGCTCTCAGCCAGCAGGATGGGCTGGCAGAGGGGATCCCTGACATCCCTCCAGCAGCAGGCAAATGGCAGGTGCTAGGACCAGAAGCTTTCTTTGTTTGGTGGCACGGATCCGTCCCCTAGACCCGCAGCAGCCAGCCTTGCTGTGCCTAGCAGGAGGAAAGTGATAGCTGCCTTCTTTCTGTTCATTACCATGGGACAGGCATCTCTCTCAATTAACAGATACACACTATCAGGAGGGATGGTCTTTAGTGAGGTCTTTGAGGTGAATTTACTTTAGCCATCTCAGCTTTACCTGTGGTGGCAGAACAGAGCTCAGTACCTAACCCAAATGCCTCAGTTTTGTAGGCATCAGGGGGCACATTTAGCGTTGGGGGGCAGCTGTTGTATGAACCACGAGCCCAAGGAAATGAGCTAGGATCAGAACAACAGCAAAGGAAAAAAAAAAAAAAAAAAAGAAGAAGTGAAAAAGGAAAAGGAGAGGAGGGAAAAACTGCCTGCCATCCAGATTTGGGAGTGCCCGAGGCTCTGGCACGCAAGGGCCGCTGCCCCTGGCTGCTGCCGCGGCTGCTGCGGGGCTCGCGGTGTTTTAGGGCACGAGCAAAACCGAGCAAAACCGCCGGGCAGGGCTGCGAAAGAGACCGCGACTGAAGCTGGCGCTCATCTGCCGCCCGTTTAGGTACCGCTCCGGGCCGGCAGCACCACACGGGTCCCCCCGACACATTTCAGGGCGGTCGGCGTGTGCGGGGCGACGGGGGGGTCCGCGGTGTGGGCAGAGGGGGCGCGGGGAGAAGAGAGGGACCACCCCCTACCTCCCATACGCATCCTTACTCCCCATCCCCATCCCCATCCCTATCACCATACCCGTCCCTCTCCCTCTCCTTCTCCCTGTCCCCGTCCCCGTCCCCGTCCCCATCCCACCCCCTCCCGCCGCAGGTGCCGCCGCCCCCCGCACCGCCCCCCCGGCTCCGCCGCCCCGTAAGTACCGGGCGCTCCGGGCGGCCGAGCAGCCGCGATGGGCGCCCGCGGCGGCTCGGGGCTCTACGTGGGGCGCCGGGCGGCCGCCCTGGTGGCCGCGGTGCTGCTGGCCCTGCTGGCCGCCCTGCTGGCCCTCGCCGCCCTCTACGGGCGCTGCCGCGGGGAGGAGGCGCCCCCGGCGCCCCCCTCGCCCCCCGACGGGGCGGCCGGAGGAGCCGGTGTCCCCGGGGGTCCGCCGGGGGTCCCGTCGTGGCGGCGGCTGCCCCGGCACCTGCTGCCGCTGCACTACGACCTGGAGCTGTGGCCGCGGGTGCGGCCGGGGCAGGCGGGACCCTTCTCTTTCGTCGGGCAGGTGAACATCACGGTGCGCTGCCGGCAGGACACGCGGGCCGCGGTGCTGCACAGCGCCGGGCTGCGCATCCGGGGAGCAGCCGTCCGGGGACCCCTGCCCGAGCCGGGAGACGCCGTCTGGGGGTCCCTGCCCAACACCGGAGTCGTTGTGGAGGTGCCAGAGCTGCAGGAGGCAGCGGGAGAGGTGGCGGTGCTGGAGCTCCGCGGGCGGCTGCAGGCCGGGCGGCGCTACGTGCTGCAGCTCGGCTTCCAGGGCCGCCTGGAGGAGGACCTGGACGGGCTCTTCCTCACCCGCTACACCGACCAGGGGCGCAGCAGGTAGGTGGCCTCGTCGGCGGCTGTGTGGAGATGCGGGCTCCTGGCTCCACGTCTGACCACAAGGGGCTGCAGGGTGCATGGTGCGGGAGGATGTGTCACCCCAACACTGTCCCCAAACCCGTCATGAACTCCAACCCCATCCCCATTCCCAACCCCATTCCCGTCCCAGTTTCTGTCGCCATTCCTGTTCCCATTCTCGTCTCCATCCTTGTCTCCAGCCTCATCTAAAACCACATCTCCAACCCCATCTCCAACCCCATCCCTATCCCTGTCTTCAACCCCATCCTCATCTCCAACCCAAACCCCATCCCCAACTCCATCCTTATTCCCGTCCCCAACTCCATCCCTATCCCTGTCCCCAATACCGTCTCCAACCCTATTCCCATCCCCATTCCCGTCCTTAACTGCAACCCCCACCTGCCAAGAGCACTGCCCAGCACCATCTTCTCCTCCCCTCCCCTTGCCATCCCCAGTCCTCTGCTTTTTGCGCTATGGCAGTGGGACAAGGGCAGTGTGAGCCTGCCAGACAGGCCATCACTCAAATCAGGTTTTGTCCTCAAAGCAAGGCATGCTTGCTTATTTGTTTATTTTAGTTGGGAATCTTCTCAGGGTGCTTTTCATTCTGAATATGAAATTTCCTGCAGACAAGTGAAGCTTAAGATTGTGATTTCAATGGTTCTGGTTGCAGGCAAATTTCTCAAAATAGGCGCTTAATGTAGGGGTAGGAAAAGCGCTTATTTTAAAGGTACTTCTAGGTACTTATACTTAAAGGTACTTTCTAATAATGAAAGACGCGGTGAATTGCTGCAGGACATGAAGCAAGTCAGAAAGGAAGCTAGAGTTAAAATTCAAGTGCTCTTGGCTCCCAGCCCACTGATGAGTTCACTGAAGTAAACTCCCTCAAGCAGTTCATGGAGCTCTGGTCCAACCAAGCAATGCTCAGTTACCTGCAGGATCCATATGTGCTTGTCACTGTATGCGTACTAAAAATCACAAGCCATGAAATAAATAGTTTCTATTGAAACAGAAGAGAACTGTGTGACTTCTCTGTAACAAGTAGTAGCCTTTTTTATTTTAAGGAGATAAGTTGATTATCCTTAGAGAAAAGAACAGTATGTTATTGAGGGATTTTAAGAAATTTGTTTGTTTGTTTGTTTGCTTGTTTGTTTGTTTGTTTCTTTGTTTCTTTCTTTCTTTCTTTCTTTCTTTCTTTCTTTCTTTCTTTCTTTCTTTCTTTCTTTCTTTCCCTCTCTCTCTCTCTCTCTCACTCTCTCTTAGTCTCTCTTTTTTTATTCTTTCTTTCTTTTTTCTTTTTTTTTCAGTTGTTATCTCTTTGTTCACTTAGTGTCATTTACAGGTATATTTGTGCAAGTTTTGATTCAAGGAAAATCCCAAATGCTTTGCCTAACTTTCATAATTAAAAAAAACAATAATAAAAATCTAAAATAGAATGGAACAACCACTTAATTGTTTAATACTGTATCTGTTTCTAATCTACTGTATCTAATTGTTTAATACTGTACTTTATGGTGCCATATTAATTCAGTCAAAAACTATTTATGAAACACTGAATTAGACTGACATTTTTAAATTCATACTGTGTACAATTCAGAGAATCCAAAACAAACAAATGTTTTTAGCTATTGTCGACTTTGCTGCCACAATAGAAAATAAGAAAAAGTACTTTAATATCATTAAAATAATGTGTATCATTTGATTTCAAGTTGTTTAAAGGACTTGTGGCAATTGTTCTGTATAATTTTTAGCTTATCATGAAGCACTAAGGAAATGTGAGACTGCAGTCTAGTTTAAAGAGATGCCAGTGGTGTTCAGACACTGAAATAAGTCAAAGGAAATCCACTGATTGCAGATAAAACATATTGTTTTGGTTACTTGTTCCTGCCCACATTCCTGATGTTCTTGAATGGATTTTGCATATCTTTCTGCTTTAAAAGGACTTTCTCTGAATCAAGAGTATGCAACACAACCTTGTTATTTTTTTCCTTTACTAAGAATGAAATCATCACTTTACCAGCAGTTTCCTAATCTGATGGGGTCCAGTTACACTGGTTTTGCCATCCCCATTTTGGATGAGGTGCATTGTTAGGAACATATTTTGTAAGCTCTAGCAAGCTGTTAAGGATGGAAGAAGCTGTATTCCTATGGGTTATATAGATCACAAGCGATTTACAAACACTCAGCGTCTTTCTGCTCCAGGCTGCAGTACAAAGCTCATTACTATTCTGTAAGGAAACCACTACCTCCTGTGGGTAGCCCTGTAGCTCTTCCGCAGGGACTTGTACCTGGCTCCGTCAGACCTTCAGGATCTAATTCCTGCACAGGCTTCTGACTTCAGTTTGTAACTGAAACCACCAGCTGCAGCAGACAATGTGCTGTTTATTTGCGGTCAAACAGATTCTTGTATTTCTTGCATGCGCTAGAAGTTTTAGTGGTTTTGTAATTTGTGTTTCTGGAACCACTAGGGACCTCTCATTTCAGAAGAGTTTAGGCATGGAAGGGCAAGTTTTCAGTAGACAGTTAGATCCTAAAGAGAAGTGAAGTCCCTGAAATCTGTGCCTGAGCTTTGGCACCTCCTGCTTTCTTGCTCAGATACCCACATTGCTCTTGGTGGGCTGGTAGAATTAGCTGTTTGACATGAAGAGCTCTTTTTTCCTTGTCCTTCCAAGTCAGAGAAGAAGAGCACTGGTGAGGCTGTGAGGAAAAGCCATTTGCAATAAGAACTCCCTGATGTTTTCAGAAATGCTAGCCTCACCTCTATGGAAGTCAGAACAAACCAAACCCCAAACCAAAAATTCACAGAAACACAGAAACTGTTTACAATCTGACTGATCACTGGAGACTGTGCATTATTTACTGTTATCGACAATTTGTACTACCCACTCAATCAGGTCTTACACATGAAAGAAAATTCTGGAAAAATGGAAGCACTACTTATTAGTACTGCGCGTGTCTACACACGTAGACACAATATATACAAACAAACAAACAAACAAAACAAGATACAATACGGTCCATGTCTACAGTGACTGCAACAGCAAAGGAGTTGAAAGAGGAGGATGCCCCTACTTCACCAGCGCTAATTATCTGTAAAGATTTATTGTTGGAATGGGATTCTGTGTTCTGCAAATAGCTGGGAGAGTCATGCCAGGGTCAGGGTAGGCAGAAAGATTCAGAAACCATCTTTGCCCTTCTTCTTTAGCAGCATTGGTGCAAACATAAACAGTGCAGGAGGTTAGACTGAACATCATCCTACATGCTGATACTACGCTGCTGTGATTAAGCTCATGTATGCAGCTCCAGGCTTAGCAGAATAACCATGATTGTGCTGTGAAGAGTGGGCTGTATGTGTACTGGGTTTATGTGGTAAGGGTTTGGTAGTGGGGGGCTGCAGGTGTGGCCTGTGTGAGCCCAGCAGCTGCCCCATGTCAGAGCACAGCCAGCTCCAGCTGCTCCAAAAAGTGACCCTCCACTGGCCAGAGCTGAGCCATGAGTGACTCTGGGTGGGCCTGTGGGACAGCAGAGTTAAGGGAGGGAAAGAACTGCTGGGCAACAGCAGCTGTGAGAAGAAAGGTGAGAGCCAGCCCTGCAGCCTCCACGGGCAGTGCAGCAGGAGGGCAGGAGGTGCTGCAGGCAGGCAGGCAGCAGCAGTTCCCCTGCGGGCTGTGCAGGGAGAGGCCCCTGGTGGAGCAGGCTGTCCCCCTGCAGCCCATGGGTCCCCCATGGAGCAGATCTCCACGCTGCAGCCCCCCCATGGGTGGAGGAGCCCCCGGTGGAGCAGGTGGATGTGGCCTGGAGGAGGCTGCGGCCCATGGAGAGCCCCCGCAGGAGCAGGCCCTGGGCCGGAGCTGCAGCGCGTGGAGAGGAGCCCACGCAGGAGCAGGGGGTCTGGGGGGAGCTGCCCCCACCCGTGGGGGACCCGTGCTGGAGCAGTTTGCTCCTGGGGGATGGATGGATGGATGGCCCCGTGGGACGGAGCCGTGTGGGAGCAGTGCTTGAGGAGCTGCTGCCTGTGGGCAGCCCCCCAGGCTCAGTTGGGGAAGGACGGCATCCCTGGGAGGGACCGCACGGGGAGCAGGGGCAGAGAGGGACCGTGAAGGAGCAGCGGAGATGAAGTGCTATAGACTGACCACAACCCCCATTCCCTGTGTTCCTCAGTGCTGCTCAGGGGTAGGAGGTGGAAGAGGGTGGGTGGAGGGAAGGTGTTTTTAGGTTGTTTTTATTTCTGGCCGCTCTAGTCTAGCATTAATTGTCAACAAATTAAATAAGTCTTCCCCAGCCAAGTCTGGTTTGGCCATGATGATAATTAGTGAGTTATCTCCCTGTCCTTGACACATGCATTCTTCATGGTTTCTCCCCAGTCTTCCTGGGGGGTTCCCCACCTGGTGGGGGGTGAGAGGGCATCTGGGTGGGTGGGTGCCTGGCTGCCAGCTGAGGTCAGCTCTGCAAACGTAGTCTTATGCAACTTCTGTACAAATACCTGGCTGGGTATGGCTGGTGTTAAAAGGAATTCAAAAATGTGATCAAATGCAGTGTTTGTGCTGATTTTTAGTAGTTGCTGATGTTTGACTACCAGGATGATGGAAAAGGGGGGTTAGAACAGCATTGACACGGCTAATTGGGCTTTACAGCAGGGAACCTGAATGTTTTAATTCTGTTTTGTATGAATAATTGAATAAGACCATCAAATTCATGTGACAGAAATCAGAGCAATTAACAGGTTTGGTGTTTTCTTGGGTTGTGTGTTAGCACTGAATATCATATGCCTGAGAAAAGGACTAGTGGTTCAGCCATTGCACAGAACAGGATTCTGTTCACTGTAATACCCTTGTCCTTTGAGCCACTGCAGGGTTTGCTAAATTATTTAGTTCTTACATATTTTTAAAGTGAAGAAAATCAGATCTAATATATATTAGCACAGAAAAATATTATACTATAGTATTGTAATATTATTAATATTACAAATAACATCACCTGAGTGAGAAAACATTTTTTTTTACAAGAACAACTTCTTTTGCATCATCATGACATGTTTATTTTACAACAATGCTGTTTTTTTTAACAGGTGAAGCAGTATCCATGAGGTATTTATAAACTACACATGAATCATGCTTCATTTTTCCTTTTTCTGTTATTTTCACAGACTGAAAATAATAATAATAATATAGTCTAAGTCATCAAAGCTTTAGATCCTGTTATCAGTTTGTTTCTTTTTATTTAAAAGTAGCATGTCTTTGATCTTGTTTTATAGGAAGAAGGAGGCATTATAGGATAATTAAGGAAGAAAAAGAAAACTATGCACAAAGGTACAGGAGCAAGAGAGGAACTTTTTTGTCTGCTTATGCAATGTTAAGCTTTGTTGAAAATAAAATTCCTTTTGGGTAATTTTTATTTTTTTTTTTGTGATACAATTGTAACATAGAACACAGTTTGGTATTAATTCAGTTCATGCTAATACCTTCATCATTTTTTTAAAACAAGCAAAAAAGAGCCCCAATAATGAGTAATTCTGACAAATGATATGAGGTAATGCGTGTGTGAAATGCCAATTATTTGTGTAACGTGCATGAAACATTCCCATTTATCTTTTTTATTTGGAGACCTGCTGAAAAATAACATTTAAACTGTCCTCAAATTTCTTTTTTAATGTTGATGCTTTAGCCCAATGTCTGCTATTTGGTGCTCCTGAATAATAATTTATTGTGTGCAAATTTGCTAAGTGTCTGTGTTAGCTTCTGCTGGCATGGAGCCTGCAGAGGCAGTGATGCCTCTGGTGTTGCAGATTTTGTAGTCACGAGGTTGCTCCATCTTTTCTAGAATGACAATCAAATGCACAACAGCATACTTTCCTGCACAGGAAGTCAGTGATTAGGGAAAGAGTATTTCTGCGATTGATTTCGTTTATGAAGGCAGGGGACAGCCACTTTTGCTGCTTGCACAACCTCAGCAGAAGGTAGAGTCATGCTGTGTCACCGGGCACCACAGAGGGGAGGTGACACAGCAAGGCAGCTGGTGGCTGGCACAGCACACACATGACTCTGCAGGAAGCCAGGTCCATCAAGGACATCTTCTAAAATGATAGGCAAAAAGTCAAATACATCATGCTGCTTTCTCACTTTAAAGGGGGCATTGTGGTCCTAGCAGTCACCTGGTGACAGCACATGTTCCACGTGGGTTCTTTTATATGACATAAATTGTATTGTGGTACAGCATCACGGCATGTCTGCTAAATGCAAAGGATACCATGTTTTGAGAGTACAGTTGTTTTGAGCAGGGTTAAGCAACACAGTTGTGAAAATGGCAGCAGCCAAACATCTTTCAAAATTCACAGATTTAACAAGGGCTGATCTTGGGAATTGGGTGCAAAGTATTGCTGGGTTTTGCCAGCTCATCTCCTTGGGTCAACTTGCACACAATGCAATACATCTTCTGTGAAGTGGTGTACATATAAATGGAAAGCTAAGCCATTCATTTCAGGTACTGAAAAAGAGAATCTCAAAACATGGAACCTTAGGTGATGTCCTCATGTCTCAAACATGGTTCAGTGCTGTGTATCACAACCAGGTGGAGTCATGCTGTGCACATAGGGTTGATCTGCACTGCAGGCCAGACTTGTTATATACTGTTACTTACTATATAAATACCTTCCTGGTGGCCTCAGTCTTGTTTGGGATGACTGTGCTAAGTGTGAACCTCTGTGAACCTTGCATTAGGGAACATCTCTTCTACAACTGAAAAATACTGTCCTTGTGATAGCATCCGGGTTACTGGAACAAGAAGACCATGCCATCCATGTATCCTCTCCGAGGACTACTTGGCTCAGTTTTGAAGTCTTCAGAACTTTCTTGAAGTTTTAATAGTTGAAGTTTATGTGTTTGCCTGCTTGTTCTGCTCAGTTTTAGCATGTGCATCACTGCTCCCTTCATTCATGTGTATAGCAGTCTGATTCCTATGGAGTCTTCCTTGTTGTCTTTGGGCTGATAGGTATGGGGCTTTGAGAAACATTATAGTTGTTTTCTTTCTAACACCCGGTGAAGATGCCTTGACGTGAACAGCCCATATCTATAGCTCTTTATGGAAATTTTTGCCACTAAGCTTAGTGATTCCATCATCATGGCCACTGGACATCTTGATTCCAGCAACCATGTCACAAAGATTTGCCCCAAATGGGTCAAAGCTGCACAGTGTAAGGTAGAAAATGATCTTGTATATTTTTATGGGTTTGACAGTGCAGTGGGACACTCTTCTCTGTGTGGTTTGATAGAATTGTGCAAGTGCATCTATTCACGGTTACCTGAAACATACCATGTGTACAATTTTTTATTAAAATGCACCATTAAAATAGGACAGCATGCATTAGGTAAGCAGGTAAGCAGATGTATGGACAGATTGTATTTAGAATCCTAGAATTATTGGGTGGAAAACACCTTCAAAATCATATAGTTCAACCATGCCCCTACCACCACTATCACCCACTAAACCATGTCCCCAAGCACCACGTCCAACCTCTCCTTGAACACCCCCATGGATGGTTATGCCAACACCTCCCTGGGCAACCTGTCCCAATGCCTGACTGCTCTTTCTGAGAAGAAATGTCTCCTCATTTCCAACCTGAACCTCCCCTGGCACAACTTGAGGCCGTTCCCTCTAGTCCTATCACCAGTTACCTGTGAGAAGGGGCCGACCCCTGCTCCCCACAGCTGCCTTTAGGTAGCTGTAGAGAGCAATAAGGTCTCCCCTGAGCCTCCTCTTCTCCAGACCAAATGACCTCAGTTCCATCAGCCACTCCTCACAGGACTTGTGTTCCAGAGCCTTCACCAGCTTTGTAGCACTTCTCGACACACTCCAGCACCTCCATGTCCTTCTTGCAGTGAGGAGCCCAAAGCTGAACACAGTACTCGAGGTGTGACCTCACCAGAGCTGAGTACAGGGGGACGATCACCTCCCTAGTCCTGCTGGCCACACTGTTTCTTATACAAGCCAGGATGCTGTTGGCCTTCTTAGCCACCTGGGCACACTGCTGGCTCATGTTCAGGAGAGCATCAACTAACACCTCCAGATTCTTTTTCTTTGTACAACTTTCCAGCCACTCCATCCCAAGCCTGTAATACTGCATGGGGTTGTTGTGCCCCAAGTGCAGGACCTGGCGCTTAGGCATGTTGAACCTCATCCCCTTGGCCTCTGCCCATCAATCTAACCTGGCTCTCTGCATGGCCTTCCTACCCTCCAGCAGATCAACACTTCCCCCCAACTTGGTGTCATCTGCAAGTTTACTGAGGGTGCACTCAATTCCCTTGTCCAAATTGTCAATAAAGATTTTAAAGAGGATGGGCTCCAACACCGACCCCTGGAGAACAAATTATGACAGTTGGCATCGTATCGCTTTTGAGCACCTGCCTGCTATGTGCAAAACTTTAACATACTCTGTCTTAATAACCAAACTAGAATACCTTAAATATTGAAAATTGGGAGCTTTTTCCAGATATTAAAAACAAAACACACACACAAAAACAAAACAAACAAACAAAAAAAAAAACCACAAAAAAAAACCAACACAACCAAACCAAACCAAACCAAACAAAAACAACAACAACAACAAACAAACAAACAAACAAAAAATAACAAAAAAAAACCACCCCAAAACCATAAACTAATTTAAAAAGACTGGTTTTCCCTAGAAGCATCCAAGCTGAGCTGTCTGTTAGGTGTGGGAATTTGATCAAGACTTGCAATAATAAACTTTTCAAAACCTGCATATCCATGTGATTAACTTTGTGCTTTGTATTTGTCATTTTAATGCACAGTATATGGATTTTGATCAATGTAGCATGCTGGATTTATCCTATTTGTATTTTGTATATAGCATGCTGATTGCTTCCCAACTGGAACCAACATATGCCAGGACGGTTTATCCATGTTTTGATGAGCCTGCCATGAAGGCCACCTTTAATATCAGAATTATCCACGACCCAAGCTATGTGGCTCTTTCCAACATGCCTGCTATTGGTAGGTAAACAACGGTAGACTTATGTTTGTTTGTTTGTTCTTTGAGTTACCTTAAAAGAGGGAAAATTTACTTGAACAGACTGTAGCTTTATCATCTGATATAAAAGCATTTTTTTGCCTGTGGGCTAATCTCTTGAAAATGTGCAGAAAATCTGTGTCTATGAACTTAAATATTTGGAGAGAATTATTCATAATTAATGTCTTTGATGGCAATAACTCCTTACTGCCAGTTGTGATGTGCTCTTCTCTGGCTGCTGGAGGCCATTCAGGGCTTCATTCTTACCCTTTACCGCTGTGTCAGCATCTGTCTTACTGCATGACATCTGCTTAAAGCAAAACAGCAGCTCCAGTATGCAAAGCCTGTAATTGTGGTATTAAAGGATTGCATTTCATCCTAAGCTGCTTTTAAGATGTATTTACATCACGTAAAAAAAGTATTTTAGCATACAGAGAGACTGCAGCCTCCTGTGTGGGTGCAGGATAAGGATAACAGGACTATAATGCTCTGGAAATGCTCCTTCTGCCTCTTGCTGGGATCTCATGTGAGACTCATGTTGGGTATAAGATTCCAAGCAAATTCCATAAATTACTGTTCTTACGGGACTCTGTGGGATCTCTCGCCTCCTTCTTAATGTTTTTTTTTTTTTTTTTTTGCTTTTTTTTTTTTTCACTGCATTTCAGTGCCATGATTTTTATTTCACCCAAATAATTTTCAGCCATAAAAAGGAGAGTTTAAGATTTGCATAGAAGCAAAATAATTTAGGAATTATAATGGATGGGACATCTATGAGAATTGCTCAGAAGAATTTTCCCCTAAGAATTTTTCCCCACATTTTGAAGAAAGGTACACATATAACGTATAAGTACTTCATAGTTCTCAGGCACACATAACCTATATCTGAATTGTAATATATTATACATTTCAGAGATATGCAGCATGGGATAAATTGTCCACAGTTCATCCACACCCTAAAACTGATGCAGTCTGATATGCTTCCAAGACTTAAGTAAAGAAGTTCAAGAGTAAATTTTGGATGTTTTCCTGAAAAGTAATGACTGATATACTGTGGTAGCAAGAAGTTTGGCTGCTTGCCTTTTACCAGAAGCATATGAAGTTAGTGCAGAAATACAGCATATCAAGAGAGGTGTAACAACAACAATAACAGACATGCAGAAAAGACTAATTCCTTGTTTGTTTTGGAAGAACAATAGATTGACTATTTCTTTAATTTGTTTTTCAAGACACATCTGAGATGAAGGACGAAAATGGAAGCCTGTGGACTGTTACTACCTTTAAAACTTCATTGAAAATGTCGACTTATATAACTGCTTTTGTGATTTGTGATTTTGATTATGTCACCAGAACTGAGCGGGGAAATGAGGTAAACATGAGGCTGCATAACACATTATAGCAGTTTACGACAAAAGTTGGCTCTGTGGTACATCATGTGCTTTAGAAGATATCAGAGACATTAACTGTGCTTTCCATTCCAAAAGTATTTGCTTATGTGGCAAAACTGCTAACATTAATCTTGCAGATATTTCTGCAGAAAGCTTTCCTAAGGAGCAATTAGTTTATTACCCTGTGCTGATCATTTCATATGTGCCTACAGATACATATCCAAAAGTAGGTATGTGTTCCATATGTTAAGACTTTAGGGCAGCTACTCTGCAGAAGATGATGTTCAAAATTCAAATCCTGTTATCTTCTTAACAATCTTGATTGGAAAAGATACCAATTTCCACTGCTGTGACAAATCATTGAAGTGCAGTGCATTGTTCAAAGATGATGTCTGTCATAAATTCCATACAGGCAATACTCTACTCCAAGCCTTTTTTTTATACTTCTACTTTAACTGTTTTGTTTATTTATTTATTTTCCCTGCAATGAGCACATTTTTTAGCCTTTAAAAATGTCTGTTTTGTGTTTGAAGCCTTTTAATCACTGAGGATTCTGTTTTCCTCTTCTACTACAAGAGTCAAATCTTCTTAAGGGAAGCTGTGAAAAAATAATGCCATGGCACTAGCTGCTTGGCTTTCCTTCTTTTGTGGAAAGTGAACAGGGAAGAGATGTAACAAGTTGACCCAAAACAAAAGGTGAAGTCAAGCATATAGCCCTACACTTGCTGCCCTTCATAAATGAGGTCTTGGTGCCAGCTCTATGATTAGTTCACTGTCATCCTACTACAGAAAGGCAGGACAAGGTGAGAGGACAGTGCTGAGGTGTAGCAGGAAGCACAATATAATCTTCTTTTTAAAGCGAAGATTGGACACACATGTCATATCTGCTGTCCCCTGCATAAATTCTGTTGGGTTCTTTTGTCTCTTGCTGGTAAATTTGTCTTGGACAGATGTCTCCTGACAGCAGTGAGCCAAACCAAGCATTAAAACTAGTGTTCTTTCAGAGCAAAAAGGCACCACCCATGCTCTGTTAGGGGTAAGAGGATATTTTGACCCCAGGTTTCAGAGGTGTTCAGTTTATGCCTCCACAGTGTTTGTGTGAGCATGTTCATTGTGTCTGTTTTATTATTTCCAGTAAGTGAATTACAACCCAAAACATGTGTATTGTATTTCAAAAGTCATACTGGGATTAGGGTTTTAAGTCTGCCCATTATGTCTAGGTTTTGTAAAATGAAGAGATCTGTTCTTTGAAACCTCTCTGAAGCCTTGGCTGAAAAGAGGGGCTCAGAGGCTAAGAATACTTTGTTGACTGAATATGCTTTATTTTTTCCCTTGTAAATTAAATCCTGATGGTTCCCCAACTGTGCTATTAGGGTTTGGCTGTGCAGCTCCTTGTGATACCCTCCATTGCATTTAGGTGCAAGCAATGTTGAGCTTTTAGGCTGGTAGGCACCTGGAGTCCTTGTATCCAGGGATACATGGTGGAGACATAAACTTCCTCTCAGTCTGCTCCATCACTTTGAGCAAACAGCTGCCCTCTTCAGTACCATGACATAGCAAATGGGCACTGGGAAGGAAAGCTTGCAGCTACTGTCTCCGTTATTCAGAGGTACAGGGATCTTCTGCTCAGAGGTTCCTCTCTGTCTAGCAGCAATGGGAAACCAGTTTTCTGTTTCAGGCAGTAAGAAAGCTCAAGAAGAGTTTTGGAAGATAGCAAGAGCACTCTGAACTTCCTTTTCTCTCTGTTTGGGAAAATAGTGGAATGTCTGCCACCCATGCCCACTGGCTGGAATACATTGGCTTAAGATGTGTGGATATGAGTAGTTTAACAGCATCTTGTATTTAATAAAAGAATAATTAGGAATCCAATTGCTCCAATCATCTATAGTTGGATTCAAGTCTTGGCCCTTCTGAAGTGCTGAAACTCTCCCTGATTTTTAGCAGGATTAGGCTCTGGGCCATACTTTGTCAAGTCCAGCAATATGTGGGCTGGGATTTTTTTTCATCAAAAGCTCATTACATGATATGGTGTGGACAGACAGCATTTTCAAACAATGATTCATAGAAGAGAAGCAAGGAAAATTAAAATATTAGGGTTGTCTGAAATAATGCTTCCTTTTTTGTTGCAGATACGTATTTGGGCTCGGAAAGAAGCCATTAAAAATGGGTATGTTGACTATGCTTTAAATATCACAGGCCCAATATTTTCATTTCTGGAAGACTTGCTTAACATCAGCTACCCGCTGCCAAAGACAGGTGAGATTCATTATTTTCTTAAATGGACCAGGAATATCTGTTATAACATTTACGGAAACAATGGGTTCTCTTGCAGTATTCTCTTCTTATAACTTACCGGTATAAAACCCTTAAGCTTTAACTCACTGAATTTTCCTTTCTGCACCATGACTCTTCTTAACCTGTCATTCAGCACACTTATCTTCACATTAAGCTCATTCTTTAAAGCAGCATTTCCTAATAAAGTGGAAAATAGGTCTATAAAGTGGAAAAAGAGTTGTTTAGTCATTTGGTCTATGCATCCCAGAAAGAGCCATACAGGACAAGGATGCTGGAGTCCCCAAGTGTGCCTAAAAAATCCTTGCTTACTGAAACACATGCTTCCCTGAAATATTTCTTGCTTTCTTCAGTGTGTCTTCACCTGAATGCTGAGCTGGCTGTATGTTCATGCACATTTCTCCCTGGAAAAAAAATCCCATAGGAAAACATTATTTCTATTTAAAATCGACATCAAGTTAAGTCACTTCAGTCAAGAAAGAAGGGTGCCATCATGTGGTCCCATTGTGCAGTTTGCTACTGGTATTTGGACTCACAGAGGCTTCATTCAGCACTGATGTCACGAGGGAACTTGCTCTGTTACACAAATCCCTAAGACACTGAAAGCACTGAAGGTAGAGCTTACCTGAAATGAGCTGAGGACCTGCCCATGATCTTGGCAGATCTGGGGGAGACGAATTTCCTCCCTTTCCTGACTAGGTAGTGTGCTTATTTGTCAAATCTGTATTTTGGCACTTCAAAGAAAGAAATTTTCATCTGGGTAAATGTAATATATGAGTATAGAATAATATACAGAATTACTTACCGCACTTCCTACATAGAATGTAATATATGCAGTTGTTGCTCTTTTAAAAGTTATTTTAGTAATCGTGCAAGGTAACCAAGGACTGTAGACAATTATTTTTCACTGGTGAATTCCTCTGTTTAGCAGCAATGTCAACATGTTGATTAATTGCTATAAAAATATTACAAAAGTGGTGTAGAAGAGCAGTATCACTGATTTCCTGTTAGGTAGGATTACAATTTCACATAATGCTGTTAATCCAGTTGCAGTCCTCACAGTAATACAATACTGCATTTCAGCTGCTTTTCCTACTGACCCTCCTTGAAGTTCTGCTTAAAAATCAATAGGATTAGATCACACAAGAATAGCTTCTTGTAAATGCTAGAGATTTCTGTTGCAATTTAAAAATGCAAACCAAAACATAAACACATTTAAATCTAGGGATATTTATGGATTTGTTTTCAGCTGCTTTTAATCCAGTTACAACTGTGATCTTTCACCCCAAGCTGGCTTTGCTGTAAGCCAGCAGTGATAAGCCTGGGTGAGATGCAGTCTACGTCGCTTGGGTTCAGTGTCATGCACATGTTAACTGAGTAGATTTTGGATTGGAAATGGCCAATGGTCTGCTGAATTTCAGTACAAGCTCAAGTCTGCTTCGAAAACACTCCGTGTACCTTTTGTGAAGTTTGTGCTCTGCTGCTGAGCTCAAGCAGTCCTCCTCTGAGATCCTTGATGTTCATCCAGGGCACATCTCCATTTCCTCCAGCTCCCACATTTGAACTGGAAAACTGCTCCCTGCATAGGTAGAACACAGCCTTCATTTTTGTTCAGAAATGTTCTGTGTACAAGATACAGGACAGATGTGGGCTTTGTGGGTATTTATTATACAGCTCCCTGAAATATTGGCAATCATAGATGAAAAATGACAAGGGGAAATTTTGCAAAGTATTTTCAAGGGTGTTGCCATAATATAGCAAAGAAAGGATAAAAATGTACTATCTTTTAACTACACACTGAATTCTTATCCAGTGTGATCATAAAATCATGTGAGCATTTAACTTCCAAAATTTTTTAAGATACATTTTTTTTTTTTTTCTGTTTGAATCAATTTAGATCTGGTTGCACTGCCTGATTTTGGAGCAGGTGCTATGGAAAACTGGGGGCTAATGACTTTCCAAGAATCATCACTGATGTACCTCCCAAGTGATAAATTCACAAGCAGAAAGGCAATGATTGCCATAATTGTGTCACATGAGCTAGGACACCAGGCATGTGGTAAAAAGTTCTGTACATTTATTTGTCTATAAATTTTTTTCCTTCTGTTGCTGATGATGCAGTCACTGATTATTGATAAAATAGTGACTTAACAGTAGGGGGTGAGAACACCAGAGGGTTGAAATACTATTCATGTGATCTTTTGTTCTGCTGATAGACCAATATTAAAAGCAGATTTTGTTGTATTCTGTCATATTATAGGCTGCATACTGACTGCATAGGACTCATTGATAAAAACCTGTTAACAGACGACTTTTTTTTTATTATTTTTTAAATCTTACATAGTAACTGAATGCCATACTAGAAGATACTGCAGGGAAGTAGGGATGACAGTACTGTCTATATACTATATATTTGGTACCTCAGTGGGAGAATGAATGGACTTCATAAGGGCTACTTCATAATAGGATTGCATGCACATATTGAAAAAGGAATTTGCTTTTCTGTAAGAAAGCCAGTGATATCATACAGCAAATGGAACATGAGCATATTTTACACTTTTTTTTTTTTTTTTGACTTTGTCTAATTTAGTGTTCTTTGCCAGAAGAAAGCACCTAGTCAACAAAGCTAGCAAAAGATTTTAACTTGGCTAGTACACTTGTATGCCCTTCTGACAAGGTCTGTAACTTTTCAGACCTTCAGATGAGCAGATTGTCTTTATTGCAGGCCAATAAAATAAATGGCAGCACTTAATTAAACTTTACTTTAAAGTAAAGCTATAGTCCAAGCTTTTAAGAATTAACAAATAAAGTACAAATCTTCAAATGATCATTTTTTTTCTTAAATATGAACTGCCAAATATGAGTACATAGCAGCTGTTGTGGAAGTTTTATTGCTCACCAGGACAGGGATTTTCTGATTTTGGAAATGGTTATTTCCCCAGTTCTGTTTATTATCCCCTTGACAATTTCCTTTTGTTAAGAACATGGAAAAACAAAAGTTTTATTTTATTTATGAGTGACTCTTTGGAAAATGTTTTTGCAATTGTTTGATAAATGTACTATTTTTAATCATAGCCTGATATGATCTTTTAGATCTGTAAATTTTATTGGAAGTGTTTAAAATTAAATAGAGTAGAAGACTGACATAATGCACTGACGTGCTTATGGCATGAAATTGTAGGTGAAACAATTAAAAATAACAGACTTTTGACTTTTTCCAAGATGCATTTTTTTTCTACTTAATTTTCACTATCCGCAGGAATACCCAGCATTATATTTGGTTGACATATACATGTTGAACAAAGTTCCTTCAGCGATGATATGTGTTTAACCTATAAATGAAAACAGCAATCTGAAGAGATATTAAGACTTATTTTTTTTTCTTTTTATTTAAGTGGTTTGGAAATTTGGTTACAATGAAGTGGTGGAATGATCTGTGGCTTAATGAGGGGCTGGCATCTTACTTTGAGTACCTTGGAGCTACCTTTGTTGAACCCAGGCTTTCACTGGTAAGTGCTAGCAGTTACTGAACTAAGTAAGCTAAGGCACTAAAGTTCTAGCATGTAGGAAGAAAAGGAAAATGCAGGTGATGGAGTTTAATTAAGCCGTGGCATTAGCATCTTCACTCCCTTGGGAATGAACAGCAGCTCTTGGTTCTTCCCTTGAGGGCTTCCATCAAATGGGGACTGTGATCATGCCCAGCTCTCTTACACCTGGCACAGAGGGCAGCTAGAGAGCTGTGACTTTATGATGACAAGGATCTAAAGAACCGTGTTGGTGTTTTATCCCAGATCTGTGATTTAACAAACTTATCTGTTTTTTCCTGGATTCTGAAGCTGATGGTTTCCTTTCCTCTGTTTCCAAGCTCTGTGTGAGAGAGCTGGGCACCCCATATCTCAGGTACATTTACTGGGCAGTGTCTAAGCTGGGACATTCTACCTCATCAGGTCCATGGATGTTTGGTTGTGGATGAGGTAAATTGTAGTGCATGTAGCCCCAGCTAATCTGATGGGAGGGTAAAAGCTCCTTCTTTCTGCCCAAATTGTAATAAGCATAAATCCCACTCTGTATTGGAAAACTACATCCATCATTAATCTATGCAGCAGGAGAATGGGTGCCACTGATGGTAGCCATCAGTTGAGCTGCACTTGCCTCTACACTCAGAAATGTCTCTGCACAGTGCCCTCAGCTTCTGAAGGAAGGAGACGCCCTTAGTTTGGGCAGACCTGAGACTGTAGATAATCCAGTGTGCTTTTCATTTGGCTCAGATGGAATACTATTCATCCCTTTCCTTCTCTAATTTGCTGAAGTACTTAACTACACGCTTAATTGGAAACTAATACAAGCATGTCCAACAAATTATTTAAGAAGGATTTTTAGGTCACGGGATATGATAGCCTCTTCCTCTGAATTTCAACAACAGCTCGCTTTATTCTCTGTAGTGGAATTATTTTAATATCATTGAAAAATATAAAGGTGGATCAATTTTAAATTGGAAGTAAGTCCTTGTCTCCTTTTTATTTTTAATTTTCTTATGTTGAAGCTTGCCCTTCTAAAAATCAGAGGTTGCCATTTTATTTATGCCTGTAAAGTAAATTTTAATACTGGTATTAGCACCTACTCCAACCCTTGCTCAGTTAGGGCCACCCAGCGCAGGTTGCCCAGGACCATGTCCAGACAGCTTCTGAGGATGGACAGCCCAGGACACTGTTAGCCTTCTTAGCAGCAAGGGTACAATGCAGGATCATGTTGAACTTGGTGTCCACCAGGACCCCAGGTCCTTTTCTGTCAAACTGCTTTTCACCCAGTCAGCCCCCAGCATGTACTGGTGCTCTGGGTGCACTCTGCCCCATCATCCAAGCCATTAATGAAGATGTTAAGCAAGACTGGACTCCTGGGGTACACTGTTAGTTACTGGCCTTAAAACAGACTTTGTGCCACTGATCACCACCCTGCTACAAAGTGAACCTGGAAAACTATATTCACTGACTGTTAGCAAAGAGAAAAATTGGTCAACAAATTTGATCCCTTTAATTAAAAGCCTGTGTCCTTCTCGAGAAAAGAAAGTGCTCAAAGTGGCCTATGGTGTTTTAGAAATTTACTAGTTTTCTTTAACTAACTAGTTATGTCATTTAACATTCAGTGATAGGATGGATAATCAGCTGTGAGAAAATAAATAATCGTTTGACAAAAGGAGAACTTCACTGATTTACACCAAAGGAGTAGTTTTCCTTCTGTTATTTTTCTTTCTGGGTGACGGCCAAAATGCTGCACAGTTAAACCATGCTATACTCAAGTATTTAGTTTTCGGTTATTTTTCAGGGTTGCAGCAGGAGAAATACAGAATTTAAGAAGAAAATGTGGCATGCTAATGACATACCAATGTAGATGAGATACATGTTTTAAGTTTTCAATGTTCGCTTATTTGCTGGTTAATGTAGCTGACTTCTTCTTCCCTGAGGATTAGAGTGTAATCATCTTTGTCAGGCCCAAGCCCAATGTCATCTCAGATTTAAAATTTTCACTGCCAAAAGCAGTAGCACGTGGAAAATGTTAGGATTGAGTGTAAAGTCCTTTTTACCTCAAGGGGAAGTTATGGAGAGGGAAAAGGATCATCCCTTGTTTATTGACAGGCTATTTCTATTAGTGCTAATACCATAATACACTGTATCTGCCTAAGAATGTGTATTTTCTATTCAGCTCACTTAGATTTGTTTTTTCTTTCTTTGCAGGATAAAATCTTCTATGATCATGTTGTACAACCTGTCTTAAGGGAAGACAATGAAGTAGGAGTTCGATCACTGTCACAGAATGAAGACAAGATCAAAGGATCGTTTTCATTAATTTCTCTGTTTGACAGCATCACGTACAACAAGGTGAAAAAATACAAAATTCTTCCTGTTTCTTGTATATTGCGAATGAACGTGATACATGGTATGTTTGAGAAGTAGAGTGGAATATCCTCTTGAATTACAATGCTTTGTAGTTTTGCCATTCAAAATTTATTTTTGCTGTGCACACAAACATATCCGGTGTTGCAAATCTTTCTCTGAGAGAAACTGTGAAAACATTTTTAATCACCATGAGCTATGAAGCATAGGAGTAAACTAACTTTTCTGAAATAATTTGAAAAGATACTGCAATAATAATCGCAACAATAACTGAAGTTTTCTCATAGCTTGTTTTGTACTTTAGGGGGCTTCTATTACCTGGATGCTTTCTGGTTTTCTGACTGAGAAGTTGTTTATCAAAGCTCTTAATGTAAGTTTGGAAAACTAGCATCATCATCCTGATTTATAAGCTTGAAAATGGCAAGTGTACTAAGTACTGTCTGCCCTTCTGATGTTTTTTATTGAGCTCTCATGAATTCTGATGCTTCTGCTTGTTTTCCTGCAGTTATATCTGAAAGAATTTTCCTTTTCAAACGCTAACCAAGATGATCTCTGGACCCACATACAGATGGTACTCATTTTATCTTCAGTGTTTTGCTTAGATCAAATGTAGGGTACATACTACTTGCAGAAGACTGCACTGGATTTGGCTATGTCTAGTGCAGTCTTTCCCTCATAAAAAAAAAAAAAAAAAAAAAAAAGAGCTTTGCCGGCTCTTTTGGCTTAGGTCTTCAGAAATGTTTATTTGGCTACTTAACAGCACTTGAGATCAGTGCAGCAAAGTACAAGGAGCAGAGAAATGAGATGGAAAATTAGGGTCAAGTGGAGTTTTCAGGCTCATGGATTGCCTTAGTCTACACGAAATTGCATAGCCTGTATTTTCTGGAGCTTATGTTTTTCCAGATTAACGAGTATGATGTTTTGGGCTTGGTGATTAAGGATGCTGATATCTCACAGATCCAGCAAAGTCTGTAGTCTCACAGTCCAACAAAGTCCAGGGCAGTAGCTCAGCATTTCATTGTTTGCTGATTGTGGCAGAAATCCGAATAAGAAAAAAGGTGCTAATGATAGGTTTAGTTAAAAAAAAAAAAAAAAAAAAAAGCAAAACAAACAAACAAAAAAGAAAAAACACAAGCATTTCCCTATTCCTCTAAAAAAGACTTTCACTGCACTACAGAAAAAAGTCTTAGGTTAAGAACAAGAGTGCCACAATTTCAGATATGCAAGTCTGTCACATCTTCTATATCAACAGATACCAATTCACACTGGTTGGAACTCTAGCTTAATATCTTTTTTGGTATATCTTTGCTGTTCAATTTGTATATTAGGCTGTCACTTAAAAATCTTATGTCTTCTGGTAGCTTTATTTCAGTAAAATTAATAAATTGAATCTGTCACAGCCATACAGGGGTGTAAGAATATTAACACTAAAAAGAGAAAGGTTAGCAGTCAGGTTATAAGAATGAGAAACATCTTCTCCATATGTCATAATTCCTGTTTGTCCTTAATCTTTCTAATTCCTGTTTCTCCTGAAGGTTGTAGATGCACAGGATGAAGTTCACTTGCCAGCATCTGTAAAAAAAATAATGGATTCCTGGACATGCCAAAATGGGTTTCCAGTTTTAACATTAAACATAACCACTGGCACAATCAGTCAGGAACAATTTCTTAATAAAAAAAATGAAAACACCAGTACTGATTCTTACAAGTATGTTTAGTTTGTGTCCTTATCATATGTTTATTCATTTATTCCCTGTTTTTTTTTTTTTTGTTTGTTTGTTTTTTTTGTGGTTGTTGTTTTTTTTTGTATCATGAACTGTAAAGTAAATCTTGTTTAAAACTGGAGTTTGTGATAGTTTTTCAAGTTGCTTGTATCACTGAAGGTTGCGTTCCTCTGCAGTAGTGACTTTTCTAGCCACATAATGTCTTTGTAAGGAAGGACATGCAGGCCATGAATATGTTGCAGGGCAGGAGTTTTGCCTGGCATTTTCTTCAGTCTTCATCTCAGTTGTCCAGACTGGGGACTGGGGACTTACCTGAACCATGTGTCAGCTTCTTTACAGTTGACATATTTCCAGTATCATCATCGTAGAAAAGACAAAGGGGTTGTTGTTGATGACTCCTTACTCAGAAAGTGCTGAGTACCTGACATGCAGCTCTAAAGCTCCTGACTGTCAGTGAGCATTGCTGAGTTCCTGGTACTTTTTGAAGGCTGTGCTGCATGTTTAGATACCTAAGTACGGTGATAGAAGGAGCTGTCTTTGGTCATCTACTTGGGAAACTCATGGCCAGAGTTTGAACTTCTGTGAAATTCAGCACTTGTCATGAGCATTGGGATGTATGGAGAAAGTCCATGACATGAGTTATCACCTAGGGAAGTATAAAGGGGAACATAACCCAAAGCATTTTTTTCCTGGCTGCTGTTGCTAGTCATGCAGAGAGCCAAAAGCAAAATTTTGATGAGAACCATAGAGTTTCCTTTGTTTCCAAGCTCCAGGAAATGTAGAAAACTAGTCCAATCAATGTCTTTGGCTATTTTAGATAAGGAGTTCCAAGTTACAAACATCATGTCTGTTACTCTAGTTACAGTAGGAGGCAATACCATGTGAATTTAAGCAAATCCAGGACAAGTATTACAGAATTTTTCATTTTCATTAATGACTTCAGGCTGTCATAGCTTTTATCTGTTTTCACTGGGAGATTTAAATTCCTCAGAAAGGAAATTAAAGTCATCAGAATTACAGTTGTATTGCTTGCCTGGATCCTTTTTTAGTAGGTGCACTTCTGAAAAGAATCTTTACAGTCTTCAGAAATAAGGTGAAGAAGCAGGGAAAATAAAATTATCACCTGGAGAAGGGCAGCCAGAGCACAGGAGTGAAGTGATGTAAGAAAGGTCTAGCACAGAACAGTCTAAATATGAGTGCCTGTTTAAATCCAGGCTAAAAATCCTTTATCATCAATGAACCAAAGTGCTGACCCAGCATAAGTACCACCACCTGACACTGTTTTGTGTGTCAGAGAGGAGAGATGGTAGATGGAAATTTTTGTAAGAACTCATTTGCATTTAGTTTAGCAACATCAGAGAAGATTTTGTTTGTTTGTTTGTTTTTTAGCAAAATAATTAATCTCTCTCTTTTTTTTTTTTTTTTTTCTTTTCGTAAGCAACACATGGATTGTTCCTATTTCTTGGATGAGAAATGGATCATCACAACCTCTAATATGGCTAGATAAAAGCAGCAGTAAGTAACATGTTTGTTCACACATGCTAAAACCAAGATGATAAAAACATGTTCAATACTCCTTTAAAGAAAATATATATTTGAATTAGTTAGAGAGATAAATCTTTATTCCACTAAAGTCTACATCTAACTACTGTGTTAATTTTACATTAAAATAGCAAAACATTTTCAAATAAGTTAACACATTTTTCTCTATGTTGCATCAAACTTCAGTTTGTTTTTAATAATATGATTGAATCTCTATTCCTTTTATAAACGGAGATTGCCACAGTAATTTTAATTTTGTCATTTTGTACACAAATCAAAATTTCCAGCTCCTCATAGTTCTGTATTATTATTACTTTAGCAGATCCTACTGACATTAAAGAGAGATTCTGAATATAGGTAGCATCTCAGAGTTTGTCTGTGATACATCAGAAAATGATCAAGCTCAAAAAGTAGATATGAAAACTGAAAAAGATTAAAACCAGCTGTGTGAAGAGGAAAAACATGATTAAGGGCCGATAAAACCAGAAAATGAGCTTTTTCAACACTGTGTATTTTGTTTATGCAAATTTAATGCAAAAAGTAATCTTAACAACAGCATAGAATTCCAAAAGGTTTTAAGAGTTTATAATAAAAAAGTGAGTTTATAGGCATCTCTAGTCAAATACAAATCCAGTTTTCTCATTCTAGTGCTTCCCAATTAAGAGCTGTATTTTTTGAGAGAGAAGAAAAGTAATAATTAGGATGGGTTAATTAGTTTTCTTTGGTAAGTCACCCCTCAGCTCCATCAGACTTTGAATCAGTCACAAGTGGATGCACAGACTGTAGTGTTCATTGAATGCTTAAGAGCCAAACTACAATACAGTGTGTGTGTTTTGTCACTCTCTACCCTCTATTTGCAATGGTCTTGCACTGTTTTTTAGACAATAAGATAGCTTGAGTGATTATTTCACAGTATATGGACAAATAAATAAGCAATCAGTGGATGTTCCAGTGAGGTGAAAAATCATAAGATTTATAGGAAAGAAGTGTTAAGCACTGCTTGCTTGGAAGGACTAGTGTTACATGCTAGGCTTATATTATTGAAATGACAGCAATTCTATTTCCTCATCCATTATGTGATTTAAGAGCTACAGAAAAATTTATGAAATAAACATTGTGTTGCATCTGCCTGAAGGAACTACAATAAAGTAGAAATTCAGTATTTAAAATGCATTCCACCAGTATTTGAAAGCTATGTATGAAACTTCCCAGATGCTAGAACTTCAGCCAAGTGACTTGCTTTCAAACTTGAAGCTTTTAAAAAATAATAATAATTCTGATTTTTTTTTGACTTTTTGATGTAGAGATAAACCAGATGGTTCCTTAAAAGGGTAAAAATGTTGAGATATTTTTCAATTCAGCTACCATTTTGCTCCTGTGAGACTGAAATGGCTTCTGGTTGAGAACTTCTGTTACTGTGGTGATTCAGAAGTGTTCATGAGAATGGTTTGGGTAAATGAAAATGAGGGATTTGGTATGAAGTACTGTTTTGCCTAAAATTTTGGAATAGCTTCTGCAGTGATATAACAATACATAAAAAGGAAACAATTCAAAAGCAATGCCATGTATGTTTATTTTTGATGAAAAGAGCTACATGGGAGTTGATTTCTTTTACTTCTAAACAGGTTAAATTGAGTTGTGAGCTTCACGCTATCAGTTACCAAGCATGTTCTTTCACAGCTGTGCTATACAATGTTAACAGCCTGTCCTGTTGGTTTAAGGCTTCTCTGGCAATGTCTAGATACTTATCTTCCTCTAATATAATTGCATTGGTCTCTGGCAGGTAAAGACACAATCCCTGAGTGATGTACATCTGCTCAGTGAATGTACAAAACACAAGCAAACCATGCTGCTGTGGTAGAACGTTTCACTTGGCCTGTGGGTGTAGCTTAGGAATGGGCTGCATTTCTGAGCATGTTTGATATTTTAGATTCATCTAAAAGTCCTTTTGATGATTAGCAGAGCATTGAACTAGTATATGGAAAACACTACTAGTGCCATACCCTAGCCACCCACAGTCTTTTAAATGCTTAAGTTAGTAACTGTCATGTGTGACATTTTCCTCTTGTTTTATTTGTGATAATGACTCAGGATGAATCCTGTAGTACTTGCTCTGTCAAAACACACTGTAGTCCCAGCCTTCTCTCCAATACTGATTTATTGTCTTATGAGAGTTTGCTGTCTTCTTAAACCAAGCTGATCACACCCAGTTGAAGCAGAGTCTGAATCCCCTTAAAGCCTTCAAGGCTGCTCTGTTCCCTTACAGTGCACTGTAAGCTGTCAGGAGCAAGTAATCAGACAAACACCTAATGTAGACAGTAGTGAAATGAAACAACTGAAAAAAAGGAGACTTTAGGATGTGATGTAACTCAGCAGGACCACGGGACTTTTATTTAAAGTAATCTTTTTCAGTTGTTTGCCTCTCACATAAACCTAGGTGTTTTGTTCTTCTTGATCACCTATTAGACAAATTCTAGCAGGCAGCTATTCTGTCGGGTACTGAAGGTTGTGTTTTGGAGGAACACTGGGAACAGCAGGTGTGCCAAGGGTGCATGTCTCAGTATGTGGAGGTATTGAATAATAGAATGACTTGGACTGGAAGTGGCCTTAAAGATCGTATAGTCCCAAGCTGTTTACTTTTACATGACCTCACTGAACTCTCCAAACTGATTGTCCCATTCTACTCTGCACTGGTATGGCCTCATCTCAGGAACTGTGTGCAGTTCTGGGTAACACTGTGTAAAAAGGACATAAAACTATTAGGGACTGACCAAAGAAGGGCTATGAAGATGGTGAAGGGCCTAGAGGGCAAGACGTATGAGAAGCAGCTGAGGCCCCTTGGTTGTTCAGCCCCGAGCAGAGCAGGCTGAGGGGAGGCCTCATGGCGGCCTGCAGCTCCCTCACGAGGGGAGCAGAGGGGCAGGCGCTGCGCTCTGCTCTCTGGGGACAGCGACAGGAGCCGAGGGAATGGCATGGAGCTGGGACAGTGGAGGGTCAGGCTGGGGGTTAGGGAAAGGGTTTGCACCCAGAGGGGGTCAGGCACTGGGACAGGCTCCCCAGGGCACCGAGCATGCCAGAGTTTAAGTGTTTGGACAACGCTCTCAGACGTAGGGTCTGATTTTTGGGTGGTACTGTGTAGAGCCAGGAGTTGGACTCAACAATCCTTGCATATCCCTTCTGACTGAGCATATTCTATGATTCTGTGATTCTGTGGACTGTCTACTAGCCAGTGGTTTAGGAGCATCATGGGTCTTCAGCCCACCTTTTGCCATCTTCAGGGTGCTCAGTTGAAGTTATTTTTCTGCGCAGAGCGTAGATCACAAATGTACCCAGCTTTTGTTGATTCTCATTGTGTCCAGCCTCAGACCTCTGTCTCAGGGGATCGTTGATAAATGTTCATAAATGCAAGAGAATTTGTCAGGGTGCATAAAATAAAATAATACTTTTTAATATCATTTTACAGAATTTTTTCCTGAAATGCAAGTGTCAGAATCAGAATATGACTGGATCCTGCTAAATGTAAATTTAAGTGGATACTACAGAGTGAACTACGACCAGTTAAACTTAAAAAGATTAGTACACTTGCTTGAAAATGATCCAAAGGTAAGATAATTTTTTTTTTAAACTTATAAATTGGCTTCTTTCCATGTATTTCTTCTTGCAGTTCTTAAAAGTAATAATTTTGATGAAAACCTGGAACAACAAGAATTCATGTATACATGATCACATAAGAACAAATGATCCACCATTGCATGACTAAAGTTACTGGCAGACTTCCACAGTGGAATAGAACAGGCCCAAGTAATTTCACATAAGCATTAAGTTGAAAAATAGCATACATAAGATGGCATTCTGCCTTCAAAGTTGTCTTAACAAGTTGTGGTTCTTCCAATATCTTCAATTTGGCTTGAAGAATTATCAGTGTGAATGTATGACTAAGCCTTATCTGCTGTTAGGTAAACATGGAGAGGAAAGTTAGGAGAAAGTTTTTATTTCCACATTTCCTCAAAGCACAGTATTTCTGCCAATGAAACAGCAACAACAAAAAATGCATCTGATGGAGTTTTTGGGTGTTTAGGGCTTTGTGTGTGTGTTGTGTGAAGAATGTTCTGAGAGGTTCCAGTCAGTTCTGCTAGGCTCTTTTAGTCCTCTGTAGACTATGCAACACAGAGGAGATTTCATGTCACCTCTGACTTGCCACAGCATGGGCTGGAGGTAAATGAGGCTTAGAGCAGCCCATCCATATCGCCGTATATAGGGTTGCATAGTATTTAATGTTTCTTAGACCTAGAGTGAGAGAGAGGCTCTGGTAATGATATTGGTTCATTGGTTTTGATAACAAAGCTGGGAAAGTTTAAGCTTTCTGAGTCTGGGGCACACACTAATAATGTGCAGTCAGATGACTTACCTGGGAGGTCTGAATACGAGGCTGATCAGAACACACAGGTGTGACCAAGCTTCTCTACGGCACACTGGCTTCTTTTTTCTAAGCTTTTCTTTAACAGCAAATCTAAGTCAGAATGAACTGCTGACTTAGCTACTGCTGTGCTTTGGTACGGGTTGGTGATAAGGTTGGCTAGAGTAGCAGCCAAGCCTTACCAGTACAGAAACAGGGAGGAGATGAAGAGGGATAGGCATGAGATGTAGGCAGTGACTCACCCACAGTCCTTCCCCAGTAAGGTGATTTGTGATGGTTGTCAGACACTCCAGTCTGGACTAATGTGAGTATGTATTCTGAACTGAAGCCTCAAAAGGAAAAAAATGTGCCAGAATGATATAACAAGGTTATTTTTAGGAAATGTACAGTTTCTTTATTTTTATTTCAGCATTCAAAGAAGAGGGGTCCTGAAGTTCCACACATAGTGTTTTGCAGTTGTGTATTTATATATATATAACTGCTCCTAAAATCACATAAACAACTTCATCATAAAATACAGGATATGTTTTAATATGTTTTGTAGAAGATTTTGGCTTAGGAAAGATGTTAGGGACTTGTATTACACATATGAAACCTAGGACAGCTTTTTTTTAATTCTTAATGATGTGTTTAGATCTATTAACACGGTATTGATGCTTTCTGCAGGCTATTCCTGCTGTCAGCAGGTTCCAGCTCCTGGATGATGTTTTTGCATTGACACAGTAAGTATGTTTTGCATGTGCCAAAGAAAGTAAATAAAATACATGATTTCATTCAGCATTCCTGCTTCTACTTCTTTCATTCCTATCCATATGTGCCTCATAAGAACAACAGACGGTTCAACAAAATGGGAGGGTATAAAGTATTCAGTGCATTCTTCTGTCAGTGTTGAGTGATTTTCAAAATTTCTTTTAAAGTGTTCCATCTCTTAGCAAGTATTCTAAATGATGGCACCATTATGAATGTTTTAGTGACTAACCTAGATTTGTTATAACAGAAAAAAAAAAAAAAAGAATGAAGATAGTGAATTTTCCTTTTCTTAGTTTATTCTGGGGAATATCAGTTGTGCTGCCCTGTGTCACTCATAGGACCTCCTTCATTTCCTCTGCTGGTGGATGAGTTGGTCACTCATGTCTTGGTAGAAAAAGATCACGTTACTCGCGCTGCAGGTGCTACAGTTCTGTAGAAAATCACTTTAAGATAACCCAATTTTACATCAATTTTCCTGTCACTCTTCCCTCCTTCTGAAAGCTGGGCACTTCTTAGAGGAGGTTCATGTTTAGAGGCTGCAGGACCATGCTGCTGGAGAGCTCAACAGTACTGTGGGGAGCCAAAGACATACAGTCCTGTGTCTTAGTCGTACCAGAAATGCCCAAAGCCTCAGGCACCTATGATGCGGGATGTCACCTAGGGAGGAGGTGGCCAAAGCACACTGCCACCTTTTGAAGTCTATGGAGGTGGATCTGGGAGCAGGAAGTCAAAATTACCTTTTTTCCTCTTGTAAAAGTGTCCTTTCTCATAAGAGAGCTCAAGCCTGGCACATAATAAGGAAAGTAACCGTGAAGTATTGAGCTATCATCCTGTATAGGCATGCTAGAAGTGTTTCTGTTCTGGTGAATTGGGGCTTGAATTGTTTTATTTTATTTTATTTTATTTTATTTTATTTTATTTTATTTTATTTTATTTTATTTTATTTATTTTATTTTATTTTATTTTATTTTATTTTATTTTATTTTATTTTATTTTATTTTATTTATTTTATTTTTTTCTCTGGGAAAGAATGGAATGTGGGAAAGAATGTACCTTCATGCTAAGGTACAGAAATGCCATGCTCAAATTGCTAATCCCTGGGATAGTGTGCATGTGATTTAAACTGATTGACTTTTATAATTATGTTTATTCCATTAAAGAACCTGTACTGCAAATCTGTTGTCTAGCAGTAAAAAGATAAATGTATTAAAAGTGGAAACAGTGTTTTTTTCCTGCATTTTTTATCTAGTGAGAATGACATGTGCTGTAAATGTGCTTAGAAATAATTCTGCAGACACAGCCACAACTCAGTCTGCATGTGGCTGTACTTACTGCCATGATTGCCCCATTACTTGGATAGTGGCATTGTACTCTGCAATAAATGGGTGGAGAGTTAAGCTCTTAAATGATGAACCACTGTTTTACTTTTATTTTAATTTTCCAGTGTCTTCTCCAGTTCACCCCCCACCCTGTATCATCAGTTTATAAATAAACAGATATTCATGATAGATAATTAATGTGAATAAGTATGCTCAAATATAAGTGTTTTTTAATCTTCAAATAGGTTTGGATATATTCAGATTGAGACAGCACTTGAACTAACAAAGTACCTTGCCAGAGAAGATGAACTCTTCATATGGAATGTGGTATTGCTAAATCTAGTGCCCGAGAATTTGGAAAGTACTTTGAAAAACTATGAAGTATATCCACTTTTAAAGGTATCACATTTTTTGTAAGCAAAGATACTAGCCCATTTAAATAAAACAGACTAAATTGAGTGCTTTATAAATTCTCATGAAAGTAACGAGTATGATGGGTCATAGTTCTTATAATTCCCTTTGCATGACTTTGCCAACTTCTTCTTTAAATATGAGGTTCTTATTTGTACATACTAGTAAATGATGAACATCACTACATTATGAATAACTCTTACCATAAAACAGAAATATGTTTACATTCTTAATATTAACGTTGATCTTAGGGTTTTGTTTTGTATTGTTTTTGTAAAACTGAGGATCAGGAAAATCTACATGGAAAATACGAACTGGCTTGGGAAACTAAACGAGATGATTCTTTCCCGTATTTGTTACATGAGATAGTATTTTCTTATTTATTTATTTGACTGCTATTTGACTGCACATTTGTGTTAAGTGTAATACCACAACAGTGATTCTCTTAAGTACTTAAAGTATAGGCATGTTTAAAATATGTGAGAAGAATATTTTTCTTTTGAGAACTTCTCTCTTTTTTTTCTTTTTTTTTTTTTTTTTTTTTTTTCTTTCTGTCTTATTCTTTGAGAATAAGCATTTATTTTCTTTGTACTGAGATCAAAGATGTTAGTGATGTGAAATAGTAACTTCCCACTTTGAATAGTACAAGTGTGTTGAATTCTATATAGATTATTTTATATACTTCACTTTAATGTGCTATATTGTCAAGAAATTAATAGTGGTAAATTTTTAGGATAAATCTGAGTAAGTAGAGACAAACACAGTATAACAAAAACATGCATCTACATGAAAATAATTTTTCTTTCCCTTCTTTTAAAAGAAATACCTTTTAAAGAGAATGTTGCCAATATACCATTATTATGCAGGTTTTATTCGTCAAAATGTTGATGCTTTGGAACATGACTATTTTGCAAAGTAAGTATTCCATTTTTCTCAAAAGTTTGGACTGACATGATTGGATCTGATACACTGTAGTTCACTTTTATAAATTTAAATAGAAGATAGAGAAAAATGGTCTAATTTGAATGCAACTGAATTGTTATTCTTACTGTCCTTATGTGTGTATTACTTATGATGATACTTCTAATGAAAATGCAGTATCAGGGTTGCTTGGGATATTTTTAGTGTATTTAGTGAGCATAAAAATGATACCTTAATGATCTGAATGGTAGCTCTTGTTTATTGGAGAACAGGTGTAACATGCTGCTGCTATTTGGGGAAATTCCTGTAGCAATGAACTTCAGATGTGATTTATGGATCAATCACTAGAGCTTCAAATAGTGCTTTTTGCATTGCAATTGAAAGCCACAGTCTTGACTGTCAGAATGATTGAGACTAGGTGCAACTAGAGCAACAGATGTATGAAGCATACAGAAACCTAATAAAAATAAGAGTACATGAGTAGCCTCACTAATATCCATGACTACTGGTGTCAGGAATCCATTATTAGCAATTTATTTTTTTTATTTTTTATTAAACTTCAAATAGCTTTAGTAGAAGTTCTCCTGGGTTAACAGCGTAATGTTCAATAACTGTGGTCAAGCACAGTCTGAGTACTCCAAATGTGGAATGCCTATCTTTTATTCTTGCTGTTTTGGCTTCCCTTCAAGAGTGTATTTGGAAAAACTTTTTGCAACAGCATGCTGGCTGGGCCTCCAAGACTGTTTGGACCTGTCATATGAACTGTATACTAAGTGGATGGACAACCCTCAGTACAAGTAAGAATAATAATGTGCTCTTAGAGGTGTGCATGTGTAAGTGAGGTGGGAAGTTAGTGGGCTATTACATGGGGCAGGCAGAATGAGAAAGGCTCCTATACACTGCTTGTTCTCCACATACCTACAGAATTTGAAAAAAAACAAACAGAAAATCACCTCAAGACAAGAAAATGAACATAAAACCTCACCACTTCCCCAAATCCCAACTTTATATTGATTTCATAATTACTGCTTTTTGCATACAATTTACAGACCATAGTCTGTTCAGCCACATAAGAGATCAAGCACAGATTAGGGCTTAAATCCCATACTGTCCAATCCCTTTTCCACAGTACAACCTTGGGGGCATCACATATACTGACTCAATTTCTAGGCTTCTCTAAGTAGTAGAGAGTGAAGCTGTGTTTGTATGATATGGGTTCATATCCATATCATTTGATGGGTGAACCCATCACATCATTTTGCATGTTCTCTATTTGCATGAACTGGGAGGGGCTGTCAGCTCTTGTGCTGATACTGGAGCTTAGTGGTTAGGTTTCTGCTTTGTGAGAATGGAGTCTGGGCTCTACCAGGATCAGACCTTCTGTATTAGAGTACTGCATTGTTAAAAAATATTACAATGTATTGAAATTCTGATTCTCTTTTCCTTCCTTTTTCTTTTGATTTTTTTTTTTCTATGCATTAATCATATAGTATTGGCACTGGTGAGTGAATATTTAAAGTTTATTTCTTCTTTTTATTTGTTATATTGGTAAAAGGTTAATGTTTTGGTTGTTAGTCCTGCCTCTGTTGATAGGTGTGACTGGCTAATTTAACTGAACTTGTACTTGTATTTTTTATTAGCATTTAGTGACCATTCTCATTAAAAAAAAAAAAAAAAAAGTGCTTTGGAGATGAAGCAAAAAGTTGAAATGGGATAAACACATTCTGATATGTTCCAGAAAGAATATTTGTACTATCCCACACTAATAGCAAGAATACTATTCTGAGCTCTGAGACTATTGTCAAAATAGTCACCCATTTTCCCCTGTTAAGAATACTCAGAATTATTTTTTGCTGATGGAATTCTATATACCTTATCTGAGTTCAAGAGTTGACAAGTCTAAGAAATATTAGCTGACCTGGTTTTGAATTACATGGAGAAAATTAATTTTGCTATCTTTTTTTTTTTTTTTTTAGAACTGAGATAAGTTCAAAGAGACTTCACAGCATTGAACTTAGCATGGTTAAAATGTGGGGAAATAATGCAATTATGCATTTTATTAAGTGAAAGAAATCGCGCTTCAAGGAAAAAAATCATATGAGATAGGAAACTTCTTAGGTTTCAAATGACAGATTGCAGTTCCTGTTCAGTTAAAGAGGAAGCTCTTCATATGCTGGATAGTAGGGGAATAGGGCACAGTACACTTTTGTCTCATACTTCACAGAAAAGGTCCCTTTATGTTACTTTATGCTATGCTCGTGTGTTCTCCATTCTGAGAGCAAAAGTCCTAAAAGTCAGTAGTGCTTCTCCTTTTCACATAAGGTAATTAGCTTTTAGCTGAACATTTCCAAAGGGTTCCTGGCTTTGCAGAACTTAAATGGACTATACATGGTACATTTTTGTGGGTGGGTGTGGGTGTGGTTAAGTAGGTAGGTAATAGGCCAAGAGCCATGATTCCCATCCAGTTTCTTGGTTTAGCTCATTTTTTTGCTTATAGGATTGAGGTAGACCTATCTAAAGTAGTGTTGTAAAGCAGTGTTCTCTGTTGTGTTGTATAATGCTGTTGCACTCAAAGGTTATGAAACCACAATGCCACCTCTGCAGAAGCTCCAGGAAAATGGCTTCACTTAATGCACCTTCTTTCCAGAAGTTTTTTGCATCTTCCCCAAGAAATACAAATGAGAGAATCCTGGCCAGTAATCTCAAACCACACACCTATTCTCAGAAAAAAAGAAAAAAAAAAAAAAAAGCCAAGATTAATAAACCCCATCCCTCAGCAAACATAACCTCAAACTCCAAATTTCCCTTGTGCCACAATGGGCTTCCTCTGTAAGCTATACAACGTAAGTGACTTCAGGGCCATCTTAGTTGTCACCAACCAGTAGACCAGTGTCCCATAGTGTGCTGCCTGTACAGCCTGCCTTGAATAGCCAACATCAGAGCTGCAACGGAAAGATATACAAAGCTTATCTATTTTATGTTCACTCTCAATGGCTTTACACTCAATAACCAATGTATTCTTCAAACTAATACAATAGCTGCAGATATCAGAATAGTGGTATTTTAGCCAAGGCAGTTTTTCGTTAAGCATCTTGAAAATAATAGGTTAGCTAACCATATACCCTGTTATCACACATCAACCTACTGTGGCCTCTTTCTGAAAGATTATGAAATGGTTATTAAAAAAATTGCTAGACCCTGCAACTCAAATAAGATCCAGAAGAATTCCTCACAAAAACATCCCTTATCTTAACGTAACCACTCGGTTCCAGCAAGTATCAATGTTAGCAGCAAATTCCCTATGCTCCAGCACATATCCAGATAAAACATTCCAACGCTTTCTGTTATGCCAGTAAAATCACCCACTCCCAGCAGGGCTATCAAAATCCCTGCAGTTTGCATTTTCACTTCTCAACAAGCGATGCCTATCATCCAGAACACCCGTCTCTCTCCCTACGAAGTTTATAAATCATTTGTGTGTGCATTTTCCTCTGAATATTGCTGTCATATAGCCTTTCCTCTGACTAATATTGTCTCTGCTTATGCTGGTATTGACTCCGTTTTCTCTATGACTGCCTAGTGAAATTCAGAGGATTTTTTTTTTCTTAAATCATATATAAATTTGAATTTTCTGTTTCTGGTTTTGTGCCTGAAGAATGGCTTGTGTGACAAGAAACTTCTTTTCTTTTCCAAGTCTAACTCCTGATGTAATGGAAAATAGTTTTATAGCTCTACTTACCACCTTGGTCTTATCTAATGCTATGCAGATTAATGATATGCTATTGGGAGGTTAAAAGTTTGGTTTGTAGCAGTGAGACACATTCTGCTACAGGGAATTAGTTAAAAATAGCATTAAAGTGTTTTCAGATAGCTTGCAATAGCAGAGTAGTAGACATGTTGCTAATACTGGAAAGGGTTGACGTGTTGTAGTGTTAGTGACATGTCATTACCACAAGATAAATTTTCTATTCAGCCTTTACACCTGAGGAGCAGTATTATGCTCAAAATGCTTGCATTTAGTTTATTTTATGAACAACATTGCCATGTTGAGGATTGTCCCCTGAAGTCTGAGTAATGGGAAGGTGCTTGTTGCATGGAGAATTGTCCCTTCTGTTTCCATTTGTGCTGCCCATGGCTCTTCTTCCTGGATGCACACACTGAAGACACTTTCAAAAGGCTTGTCTGGGATGATTCTTACAGAGTCATAGAAGTACATAATCATTTAAGCTGGAAAATACCCTTAAGATCATCAAGTCCAGCCATCATCTAATACTAAGAAGTCCATAAATAAATCATCTCCCTAAGCTCCAAATACACAAGTCTCTTAAATAACCCCAGAGATGGAGACTCCATCACCTCCCTGGGCAGCCTGTTCCAACCACCCTTTCTGTGAAAAAATTCTTCCTGACACGTAATCTCAACCTTTCCTAGTGCAACTTGAGGCCATTTCCTCATGTTCTATCACACCTTAGAAAAGAGACCAACGCCTTCCTCGCTGCAACCTCCTTTCAGACATCTGTAGGGAGAGATGAGGTCTCTTCTCAACCTTCTTTTTCTCCAGACTATACAACCCCAGTTACATGCAGCTGTAGCCTCTTTAATGGTGTGATCGATACACTAGCTAGGATGTGCAGTAGTGGCATTGGCACGGTCTGTACAGAAACTGACTTGACCCAATTGCTTAACATGAAAAGTTCTTGTTTTTCCTTTAAACTGCATGCATTTTGTTAATATTTAAATCATGGATAAAGCAATCAAATTTAACAGTTTTATTTAGATTGCTCATTTATATTTCTCTTATTGTGCATCTTTTAACTGTAAATAAACTTTTTTTTTTTTTTTGTTATGTATCAATTGCTTGTTTTGACTTTATAACAATACAGTACCTTTTAACCATATTTTGCTTTGCAGAATTCCCTTTCTAATTAGGAGAACGGTCAGTTGCTATGGTGTTGCACTGGGAAGTGATAAAGAATGGAATTTTGCATGGGAAATGTATAACCATACCGACTCCACAAAGGAAGACAAAGACATCCTCCTCTCTGCCATGAGCTGTGCCAAAGAGTCATGGTTACTTCACAGGTGACCTTGATCAAAGCATATCTTTGTGGGTAGAAATCACACAAAAACAAATACTGCACCGTACGAACCTGGCAGAGGTTTGCCTGCTGCAGAGCCATGTGTCTAATACAAAACAGTGTCAGAATCTTAAGAGTTTTCTAACAGAGAAAATATGATAAACAGTGCATACACAAATGGTCATTCTGCTGGTAAAACATCCTAGATGCCATTAGTGACTGAGAAAAGGACTTCCCAAGCTGGTAACTAGTGTGCCATGTCTAACACTACCAATGGATGTGTCAATATACCTAAATCTCCTTTTGAGCTAAAAGTATGTCTTCAGGTGCTACAGCAGATTGTGACAACACGTTCCATAATATTGCTTGCAGTATGCACCTTTTGTATATATTGTATATATCTTTTGGTTTACTTGTATCTCTTGTCATTTTGGTTTGCTTTCGCTGCCCTTGCTCTCTGGACTGTAAGAAACAGTATTTATAATTTGCCGTGAAATTTTTCCCCACCATTTAAGATTTTATATTTTTCCCATAATGCTTCTCCCCTGATAATTTTATTTTCAAGCTGAAGTTTCAAAGCCTGTTCAGCCTTTGCATGGAAGCCAAATTATTCATCACTAGGTGAAGGATGAAAATTATAGTAGACTAGGTAGTACACTGTTCACTACTAAGTGTAGACTGCCACAGGGAAATAATTTATTTAAATTTCCAGTTTGGAATACTGTATTTATTATCTTTCAGTGACATCCATGTGAAATGTTTTTATTTAATAAAAAGGTGTTGAAGCTAAGTTCTCTAATATATTGTGTCCACATTGCCTGAGGAATATCTCACAGGACAGAAGTTTGCCTGTGATGATGGCCTAAAGAATGATTATCCAAGCATTGGCATAACACAGTGGGGCTAAAGCTCTCTGAAAGTAGTAGAGGTGTTTCTGCTGCCAACCACCTGCCCCTGTGATGGTGGTCATTTGAGAAGGCAGAACAGACGTGGCTGAGAAGATAGCCAGATGAATAGGGAAGACATATCTGAGTGGAACTATGCTATTTTCCACCTAACCAATTGTCATTCGGAGGCTTTGTCAATGGCACAGACTAGCAGTAGTCCCTTGACAATCTGTAAAATATGCTGTGCTTTAAACAGAAAGAAAACACCATTTCAAGAAGTTGCAATGACCTCCTTTCTCCCTGTGCTGTAGTAGTTGACAGAGCAATCTATATTTCTAAATGCCACGCTGAATGACTTTTGGGTTGAGGAGTGTTCAGCTGGGCTTTTCCTGGTCCTCGTTACAAATTTTCCATTTTGTTAAGCATACTGGTGGCATACAAATTGGAGAAACCCAGCTCATCTCCTCTACCAGTAGTTTTCCATACTCTTTGAAAAGACTTTTTTTTTTCTTTTTTTTTTCTTTTTTTTTTTTCTTTTTTAAACAATGAAAACCCACTGAAAGCAGGAGACTGTGAAGTAATGCTTTTATGCAATAAAATGAAGAGTTATTTACTTTTCCAAGATGCTCTGTCACCCACTACCATTGACATCAGTGGCAGGTAGTTAAATATTTCTGAAGTCATGGCTTAATCTGCCTGAGGGTATCTTAGATGCCTTATTACTGCAGCCAGTCCCATCTGCACAACAGTGTATGTCACTGCTACCTCATTTTCTAGGCTCCGTCTGTTTGGAGATTTCTCCAGAAACTTGGGAGCAGTTTCTCCTTCCACAGGGTTGTCTGGTGGGAATCATTCTCTGTATTCTTTCTGTAATATATACAAAAAAAAAAAAAAAAAAAAGCAAATATATACACTGGTTGTGCTACACCCTCATTTTACTGAGAAATGGACAGCCAGTGTGCAAGACCAGGGAATTTTACCAACATAAGGACAAAGCACAAGCTGAATACATGGCTCAGAGTGGCTCAAGTTTGATATAACTGTCCACATTCTGGTATTTGGGAAGACAAGAATTGTTCTGAACTGGTGCATATTTCCAGGTTATGACCGTTGAACAGCAACTGATAGTTATTAACTTCTTTTCTAACAGATACTTGCAATACGGACTCAGTGATACATTATTTTCTTCCAACTGTACATCAATCATCATTTCATATGTGGTGACTAAGGACATTGGACACCGAATAGCCTGGGATTTTGTTACAGAAAATTGGCCCCTTTTAAATGAAAGGTATGGTAAGCAACCAGCTTTAGTTTCTCTTTATTTTTCTTTTTTACTCCTTCCTTCATCTTGCTGTTTGAGTTGTAAAATCCAGGTACAGATTTTCCTTTCAGAGATTACTTTTTTTTGGTAATGATTGATACAATTCCTTATGTACACAGACCAAGGTTTTCAGATCATCAGGTCTTAATGTCAAAGAAGAACTCAGCGTCAGATACAGAATGCTTTAAAATGAGCCTGTTTGTGACTGTCTCAGTGCTTTTAAGTGTAAACATTTCTAGAAAATCTGACACTTACTTACCTACTTAAATGGAAAGCTTTCCCAGTTCTGAGACAGTAGAAGATAAAAATCCATCCCTCAGAGTACACTTAAAATGTGCTTTGTAGCAACTGGTAAAGGGAACAAGTAAGCAAGATATAAGTGAAAGTATGACTTAGTATCTGTATGACTAGCTGCTATGAAATCTATAATTCTCTGCTTCTTGCTATCCAGGCAGCATTTCACATTGAACAGAACAAACTTTCAAAACAGGAATATCCTTGTGCTTTTACTGGTTTGGAAGAACAGGAGAGTGCATGGCTAAAGTACAGTGATGGCTCTGTCATAGGTCCTTTGGATGCTAGATGTTAGGATGCCAAGAGACCATGGACAGAGTCTGATGGATTTTATTGTAATTATATGCATTGTCTACCAATATAATTAAGCTTGAGAGGAATATGAGCAGTATAAGCATAAGCAAAAAGAAAAGAGATAAGCCACTTGCTGTGTAGGCAAAGCACAGTATCATTAATGAATACTCTTACCTGCTGATAGGCAACAGTTAGTTGTTGAACTCTCATGTCCTCCATCATGACACTGGACATCTCGATCAGCCAGTGAGAGCTACCCCAAGTTGGGGCACTTTATTTATGGGATCAAGACTTAGTGGCACTTGCATGATTGACAGGATGACATGAGTTATATCTTTCACATACAGGGCTGAGAACAAAGCTAGGCATGTTTTGGGTAGCTAGTGATCCGTAAATCTGATAGCCTTTTGATGTCCCCAAGGAGAACATTGTTTAGACTATCACGTGATTGCTCACAGGTCCCTTTGTAAAAGCTGGCTATGCAAACACGTTATACAAGTGTTCCCACTGACCCATGCTCTATCTGTGGTCAGGAGCGTCTCGCACTGTACACTGGCCCTGTAGACAAATGGTTTCAGGAGCAGTAAAAGGACAAAAGTGGTGGTGGAAAGCTAAAAGCCAAGAAAATGAGTAAGAGTTTTGAAAATGAACAGACCTGATGGAACAGGATTAGTCTCAATGCTAGGAACATAGCATTGGGCTTCACGGATGAAACCATCATTGACTTGACTTTTGTATGTGTTTTTATTCAGGCTGCTTGTAATATAGTGTGAAGCAATATAGGCTTCCTGTGGGCAACTGGAGAATCTTTCTAGTTTATCTTTTCCACTGCATATATAAAAAGGTGAATTTCTTGGTACACATTCAACCAGACAGTTCCACAATCAGGAGAAAAATGCATAGTGTAAAAAATATATAAATAAATAATTAAAAAAGCATGCCCCCATGTACTCTAGAAATGGGTTTACCCACTAGCATTTCATAAGCACGGGTGTAAAATGCAAAAGTAAGATTGTAACCTCTTTTCCAAAGACAGCCCCCTCTCTTTTATTTAGAGATGGTGGATTGGAACATACAGGTTTACAAGGGCTTCATGGACCAATAATACTATTAATCATTGTCTTAAGTCCTAACCCATCTCCAGTCTACCTGCATTGATGCAGGTGAATTGCTCACGAGCTTGAGCTATCTACAAATACCTTTAATACCTGCTAGAAGACTCCCTCTCCCCTTGCAATTCTAAAAGACAAACAGCTGTGACATCCGTCTATTCCTGCTATCTTTGGTGGCACAGGAGTCCCTCAGGACTCATTTGTGGCAACAAATCTAAGACCAGCCATCTGGGAGCACTGAAATTGTAGCTGTATTGCTAGCTCTAGTAAAGGCAAGTTGTAGCAGGTTGGTGTCACATCAGCTCATAGAGCTTTTAGCTGTTCCATACTGCTGAGAAATATGCTGAGAAACTGACATGTCATTTTCAAACAGAAAGAACACTGTGGATGTTAGCTTCATACACTATTCTCAAGACATGAACAGAAACACCAAGCTGTTAGAATTGTTGCTGCACAGACTTTCTAGATGGTTTTGTCTGTATGGGCTCACAAAGGTTATCTTTTTTAAGCCAAAAAACCTACCTTACCAGAGTAGAAATACCAGATCTTAAAGGGAAATGAAAATGAAGGATAATTGGTGTTTCATCTTGTTCAAATGTCTAAATTGAACTTCAATGGTACTGCTTTAAAAGGGGGGAGGGAGTATAAAACTGCAAATTTTAGCTTAGTTGGTATTTTCAACATGATAAAAAACAAATAGTAGGAGTATTTTCAAGTGAGATGAAGTTTAGTGTTTTTGCAAACATGCTCATGGAAGGACCTTTGTCTCAACTTTACAGGTATGGGAAGGAATTATTGCATGATGTATTAAAAGTCATGGGAAGATTTGTCAATACAGATGTACAGATCCAAGAGGTAAATGAGAAAAGCAATTAGCTCCAACTTTATCATCAGTATGCAAATACAGCTTTTTAACGCTCATTTCTTAAAGACATTCAGGGCATGTATTGTATAATGTTGTGTTGAAATGCTGAGAAAAATAATACCTCCTCATGAGAAATAAATGTATCAACATGCACCCACAGCTCTGAGTCTTTGCTTGCAGTTATTCACCATGGCATTAAAATGAGCTTTTGCACAGGGATGGATGTTGTCCGGCTCTGTGTGGTTGCAACACATGAAGTTGCCTGCCCATGTGCTGAACAGATAGCCTGAACATGTGTGAAATAGTTCTTTCCCTTTGTTTGCGTGGCAGCTCAGATGAGCCAGTGAACAACAGATTCTCACTGAGCTGATCTATGTTTGTAAAAAGGGGATAAGTGGGGCTTGGGATACCTGTTGGTGGGTAGAAATCTGTGTAATATGGTTGTAGCTTCTCTTTGGGTTATTTCCTACAATAAGACCTCCACATATTAGTGTCTGTGATGAATGGATAACCATCACTCATTGTTGCATCTCTTTGTCTCATTCTTTCCTCTCCAGTCCATCTGCCTAGACTCTTTCCCAAGGTACTCTTTATTTTTCCTGAAGAATTCAATTTTTGTGCTGTCTGCATGTGATCAGCACACCTGTGTCAGCCCTGAACTGCAGTTCAGGAAGCACATTTTTTTCTGTAATGACAGATTCTCACGAATAATGTGCTTTTTCAGCCATTGATTGATGCATGCATATATACAGAAAGTAACTGAGAATTGATGGCTAATTAGAAGAACAATTCAGTCAGTTCTTAAAATAAAAGAAATCTCTCCTAAACATGCATGAACTAAAAGATTTTTGTCTTTTGTACCTCAGGGAAAAGTTAACTACCTGTGATGACAAAAATAATAGTCCAGTGTCACCCTTTCAGTTAACTTTCAGGTTTGGAATAGAGACCCAGTAAATATCATCAAAGTTGCCTCATTTTCACCTTTAAAATCTGCCTGTAAAGATAACCTTCTCCATAATGTCTATAGGCAACTTAACAGAAGTCAGGCTGCTGGCATGTTAGGTTGTCATCTGTGATGCAGAGAGATGCATTTCTCTCATTGCACATTGCCCCCTTCCTCTCTTCCTCCCTTCCCCCCCCATCTCACTCCCCCATCCGTGTAAATTTCTTTGCTATTCTTAAGTCCTGACTTGTCTTCTGCTCTTCAGATCGATGGGAGAGACTTCTTGCACTGTGATTGTAGACAAAACAGCACAAGAGGATTCTGCTCCCCAGCTAGTTGTAGACACCAGTGGTAGTGAAGCTGGCTGCATCTGGAAAGACCTTTAAAGGGATGGCAAAAAGGCACACTCCTGGTGTGCAAGGAGCACCTAGTGTAATCAGTACCCTTGCCTCATCCACTACTCTCTACAGTCGTTCCCTGTTCTATGTCTAAAGGGTCTGTCAGATACGTGGTTGTTTGTTTCAAGTGCAATTACATGGACTAACCTCACATGTTTATTTATTCAGTTGCAGGTTTTCTATAATACTACATTGGAAGAAGATGAGAGAGTGACTGCTACTCTACTACTGGAGTTTGCAAAAGTTGAAAATGTGGAAAGGAGACAGCTTCTAACTAAAGTTGCTGACTGGTTACATAAAAATGTAGATGATTGACTTGGGAAAGCAATTTCCAGTATATTTTAGTGTGTGATTCACTAGCATTTTGGTATTCATTTTAAGATGTAATTAAAGATAAAGCACATTTTTATGAGTCCTGTGGTTGTCTTCCCAACTGGAAAGCTGGGCTAAACCAATTCACAAAGAAAAGAAAGATTCTGATTTCAGATCAGAAATAAGATATATATTTTCATATTGTATCTAAATTAATTCCTTACTGGGATGAGTTGTTTGTAGGGATGTGTTGCTAATAATAACCTAATACACAGATACAGCTCTAAATCCTTTTTTTTTTTTTCCTGTCTAAATATCAGAACAAAGGGTGTGGTACAAGTTTTTGGCAAAAACACATAAGGAAGCTGGAAAAGCTTTATATTCTGTTTTGCTTATCTGCACTCCGGCCTTGGGCAAGTCATTTCATCTGCTGCTTTCCAATTCTCTGTTTGTAAGATGCAAAGGGGATAATAATTTAGAACAGTGTCATGAAACATAGACTTGTTAATGGCTTCAGAGCTGTGGACAGAAAAGGAATAAAGAAATATCATCTTTTAATTATAATAAATTGACACCTTGTCATTTAAACTTTATTTTTCTTGAGCAGATCTGTAAAGGTTTGTGCTGAAAGTGTTTACATTCATGTTCATGTTTGATTAGGAACAGGCTTTTGAAGAGACCTTCCCTGTTGTCTCTGTTATCATGCTTTAACCCCCAGGACAGTCTTGGGGTATGTGAACCAGATTCTTTTTGGAAAAAATTAAACAAGGAAATGATCAGCTCTTGGGATGCAAGTAATAAGCTCCATTATTTGATGGTCTTTTTTTTTTTCATGGCCCTAGGTTACAACTAGTCCAAAGTAAGCCCTCTGAAACATCATCAAGTGTTTCCATTCTTGTGGCACAGATCTGTATGCTAATTTAAACACAGGTTAAATCATCTTGCTTACTCAGTGCTTCAGACATGACGGACACAGAATTCAGGCCTCTAGAGTACTAATACTAGCAAAACATATTAGCTTGTGTGTAAAGAATTATGGGTTCCTCAGTTCAAGCAATTCATTTGTGTGGTAATAGCGTTATGGCAAAGCTACTTGTACTGGTGCTCTGGTTAACACAGAAAACAGTGTTACATAGATGCGTAGGAAACCCAACAAGTTCAGTACCACATGGTGAGGAGACAAGGAATGTAAAAACAGACTTGTTGACACAAAGAATTTTTCATTGAAAAGAATTTTTCACCTCTAAATGCACTTAAGGAAAATGTAGCCATATTGGATGTAATGAAAATTCTTTGCTTCTCTGTGGTGCAAAACAAACCCTGTAGCTGTTGTGACACTACCCAAGAATCCCTTTAACACTTGGGCATTACCAGCTGGTGCAGCCAGATTTGTCCTGAAACTATTTGATCTCTTTAGCAGTTGATCCAGTTAAAGGTAGTGCCAAAGAAAATTGCGTGCAGTCTTGAGGGTTTTCATCAAGCTGATTCAGACAGCAGACCCATTCAGCTAGGCTATGATGAGTTGGAGGGGTTTTAAATCAGCATGTCCCTGGACTCCCCTTAGTCAATCAGTAGCTTTGCCTTATTAGCCATCAGATGGGCTAAGCAAAGCATGAGAAAGTCATTGCTGTAAGATTTATGGACTAAAGTTTCTGTAACAATGTTTAGCCTGTAAGACTAGCATGTTCAAACCATTTCCTTCCAGCTGTGAGCAACCACTCATCCTCTCTAACCACTCTCCCCTTTCCTTATTATTCTTTTATGATATTTTCTTCTTTCTACTGAAGAAAAATCTTAATTGAAAAACAAAACAAAACAAAAACAAAACACCAAAAAATAACCATTATGTAAATAAGGATTAAAACAGTTTTAAACTAGAAGTTATTTTCAAATAGGCAGTCCTGACTGATGTGCACCTCTTGGCTGACATTCTGTCTTTCAGACTGTAGTTGAACAGTTTTCGTGACAGAGGGAAATGCTGAAGGTGATTTCTGAGCAAGCTGCCTGTGTAGGATCTCTCTTGCTTCCAGAGTGTGGTGGTTTTACCATGCTAGGCAGCTAAACACCACAACCACTCTCTCACTCCCCCTCCCTAGATGAGGAGGGGAAGAAGTAAAGTAAAGAACAACTCACAGGTTGAGATAAGGATAATTTAATTAAAGGAAAAAAAAATATATTTACGAAAGATTATTATTAACTAAATAATTTAACTAAAGGGGAAAAAAGAGAAAGGGGAAAAGGAAAGGGGGAAAGGGAAAAAACAAAACAAAACAAAACAAAACAAATAAAGGTTATGTGGAAATGCAGAGGAAAGAAATTACTCTCTACTTCCCACAAATGAGCAATGCTTGACCACATCCTTGGAACAGGGCCTCAATGCATGTAGCTGGTGCTCGGGAGGAGGACTGACGTTTTTGCAATGAGAGCCCACCCTTCCGCTCTTCTTCCTTTTTCCACCTTTTATTGCTGAGTGTGACACCATATGATAGGGAATATTGCTTTCTTTGGTTTAGGTCAGCTGGCCTGGTGATGTTTCTTTTCTCACTTTTTTGCCCACCCCCTAGAAGGGTTAGAGAGAGTCCTGATGCTGTGCCAGCACTGCTCAGCAGCAGACACAACACTGGTGTGATAACACTGCTGTTCCAGCTACAAGTGCAGAGCACAACACTGGATGGGCTGCTGCAGGGAAAGCTAACATCCCAGCCAGACCCAGTACACAGAGTCCACACATTTGTACATGGTGGCATCAGTAGCTGTACCATATCAGTTCGTACTGCCATTGAATACAAGTTGAGCATAGACATTTGGGAGTGGCAAATGGGAGCTGCAGCAAGGGAGGGTGAGGTGGAGGAAAGGAATCCATGACGAGCTGGAAAGCTGATTTATTGCAAAGGGAGATGAGGTGAAAGGAAGTTCATTAAAAATGATTATGAGGACATGGATGGGAAATGAGCTTTTATAGTACTTACGCAGGCTGTGTAGGTGGCATGGGGCAAGCAGTTGTGACGATGTAGGGGTGTGTAGGGAAGTTTCCAGAGAGAGGAGGTGTCATTAATAGGCAGGATGTATTCAGTGGGCCCTGAGGTAAAAAACACAGATATGATGGGAAAAGATTAGCCTTTTGGCTTATGTCCTGCTCTCTGCCCTGAGAGAGTGTAAGTCAAAAAGTTAAGCTTGTTCTGAGTTTATGGCACACATGCACGACTGGCCAGGAGTCTCAAGGGGAACTGTAAGGATGTGGAAGAAATTATGCAATGGAAGGAGTAAGGGACCTGACAGAATATTTGGGAAGGGAGGATGAAAACAGGTGAGAGGGTTATGGTATAAAAAGGAGACAGGATGAAGAAGAAAGTGAGGGAAGCAAGATCCAAGGGGAACAAGAATAAGGTATAGATGGTTCAGGCATCTTGAGTGTGTTGAGTGCCCTGCTTCCTTGCCCTGAAGTAACTCAACCTAAGGTATGTCAAAGGATTATGTTGTGTTCTCCATTGTTCATCTAGATGGGGATTAATAATCCCAACAAAGGTATCCCTGTCCTCGTGTGGGTCATCCACAGCTCCTCAGCAGTGTCCCTTCCCCTGGCCTGAATTGCCCACAGGCTGCAGTCCCCTCACAGGTGTTCATCCTCCAGCACCAAGCAGTGCTAGACATCTTCTGCCCTGTGCCACCTGTTGTGTCTGTCCCACCAGCCCATGCCCTTTTCCTCCCTGGCACCCTGAGGAACTCTTGGGGCAGGTGAGGAGAAAGAAATCAGCTGTGGAGTCTGAGCAGTGAGGCACAGGCCCCACGCCACCTGGCTATGTAAATAGTATGTGTGCACAGGGCAGGAGGACCAGCCTGATCCTTTCAGGGTTGTTGTGAGTCCCAGAAAAGGTGGGTATGGGGTGGGGAAAAGGGGACACGGGCTAAAGTGTCATGAACGAAGAGTGATGTGGCCTCACCACACGCACATTGTGTAGAGAGACTCACAGAGCACAAAAAGAGCTGTCACCTCCACACACCCTGTCCCAGGGGTGCAGGGGCTCCTCTCTAGCAAAGACAACAGGCCCTGATCTTTCAGGTGCCATTTTCAGTCTTTCTTTGCAACGTGACGTTATCTGAGGGAAGGACCTGAGAGGGGATGGTGGGCTGGGGTGTGGTGGGCTAGCTGGAACCAGCTGCCATATGCCCAACCTTATCTGTTTCACTTCCCTTTTATGAGAGGACCAGGGGAGAAAATGACATGAAAAATCTTATGGATCAAGACAAAGACAGGGTGATTGGTTACTGTTAGTGTCATGGGCAAAAACAGACTTGACTTGGGGAAGATGAGTTTAATTCATTGCCAAGTAGGTAGCTGAGAAACAAAACTAAAACAATAAAAGCACTCCTCCCCCCTCCATCCTTCCTCCCAGGCAGAAGAAATTTGCTCCCTCATCCTCCTCCCTGGGCGATGCAGGGGAATGGGGAGCAGCAGTTGTGTTTGGTCTGTAATGGTTCCTCTTTGCAGCCCCTTCCTCCTCATGCTCTTCCCTGCTCCTGTATGGGTCCTCTCTGTGCACTGCAGTCTCTCACATAAGAGCTTGCTAGGAGCACCTGCTCCACTCCTCCTTTGATGACCCTTGTGCCTTGGTGGCTGTTCTCGCTTTTTTAGATTTTAATTTCCTCACTCCTCTCTTTGCCTGGCATTTTCACCCTTTCCTAAACACTTTCCCAAAGCACCTCTTGCCCTGCTGGGGGGCTGTTGGTGGCGGTTGGAACCAGCCATGACCCAGCAGCGCGGGGATGTGCTGGCCACCTCCCACCGAGCTCCCCACAGCTCCTGCTGCCAGCATCCGGATGTGTGTGGGTGGTAAAGGGAGGAGATAACCATACAGGGGGTTATGGCATGGCCTGGGGTGGCATGGCATAACATGGCCATGAGGGAAGAGCAGCCATGCCGGCAGGTGTGGAGGCCATGGGCCCAAGGGAGGAAGCTGGATGACCCTCTCCCAACAGCAACACAGGGCTTGTGAGGGTTGTGGGGAAAGGCCTGGCTGAGGCAGCCCGCCTGAGCTAGGGTGTTATGGAAAACAAGAAAAGAGTTAAGCCATGTCTCTGGCTTTGGGCTTGAAACAGCACTGGTTGGGAGGAAGCAGCCTCTTTTGCTGCCATGAGGCCTCTCAGTGGTGGGGTTGTGGACAAAACTTGCTGGTGCCAAGCTGGTCTGGAGGCAGGATTCACAGCTCCTGCCCTGGGGAGAAAGGTGTTTTGTTCTCCCCTGGTGTCACACAAGACTTTTGTGACCTCCTCTTATCAATATCTCTACAAATGATTTTGTAGTGATCTTGTCAGAGCACCTTTTTTTTTTTTTAATTTATTTATTATTATTTTTTTTCTTTCCACTGAACACCTCACCTGTAATTACATTTAAATAATGAAACCACAGAGCCCCAAGAAACTATTTACAAAAGGGGTAAGGACATTACACACTCATTTTTAATGCTTTTAAATCCAGTCTCTCCTTTCCAGCTGCCTCTTTCCTGCTAGCTGCAGGATACAGATGCACTCAGGTGCATGGGAAGTACCAGCAGAGGCAGTATTCAGTCTGCTTATCTGATGCTGTTCTGAAAAACTACCAGCAGCAATCTGTTTCCAATCAGTTGCAAATTTTTTATTGCCATTTAATGGTGGAGGGAATTTGCACGGAGGAAAGTTGACAGTGAAATGAATAATTCAGTCTCCCTGCAGAATAAAGCCTGTCCAGTGTTGGCCTGGCCACTGAGATACTTGCATAATACTCTTATCTTTTGGGTGATGAAACAGAAACCTGTTTATATATCAGCCAATAAGTTTATATTGCAGATCTCAGTGGCACAGAAGGAAGGTGCAGTGGTTTTGGCTGGGATTGTTAATTTTCTCCATAGCATCCTGTATGGTGCTGTGTTTTAGATTTGGAACCAAAATTGCTGATAACACATCAATGTTTCAGCTCTTGCTGAGCAGTGCTTGCACAGAGCCAAAGGCTTTTCAGTTTCTTATGCTGCCCTGCCAGCAAGGAGGCTAGGTGTGTGCAAGGAGCTGGGATGGAGCAGGGCTGACCCTAACTGACCAAAGAGATGCCCCATATTACATGACATCATGGTCAGCAATAAAACTGGGGGTAAAGGAGAAAAGGGGGGATGTTTAGAGTGATGGCATTTGTCTTCCCAAGAAACTGTTAAGCATGATAAGCTCTGCTCTCCTGGAAGTGTCTGAACATTGAATGAATTCCTTGCTTTGACTTGCTTGCATGTGCCACTTCTGATTTACCTATTCAGCTGTCTTTCCTTCCTCCACCCCCCCCATACCACTTCTGGGGGAGTTGGTTCTTCTCCCTTCCCCTCCCTTTCCCTCACCTCCCCTCTCCTCCTTTCTACTCTCCACTCCCCTCCTCTCCCCTCTGCTCTCCTCTCCTCTCCTTGAAATAATAGGGACATTTGCATCACATCTCCCAATACATATTTGCAGTCGCATACTCAGAGAAGGGAAGATTTGGCTCTGTAGGAACCACTGGGAGTTTTGCCCCTGGTATCAATCCCTCTAAATGTCACCAAAAGCTTTAATGTATGTGTATACCCTCACTCATAGCCTAACATAGTACCAAACTATTCTGAGTAGATTTCAGGCTGCTAGTTATTATCTGACATGATAAAAACAAACAAACTAACTAACTAAAAAAAAAAAAACAACACACAAGCCTGATAATGAACACAAAGTTCAAAAGTTCATATATGTATAAGTATTAGGAGGACACCAAACTGAAGAATATGAGATATTAAACATAACCTGGTTTAATAATACATTTTGTGTTTGTAGAGATATTAATTCCTCTTTTCTGCGTTATATGGAAAGATCAGAAGAATAATGAAAAATATGTAGGAAAATAAAACAGGTGGTAGTTTTTTATCTGTTTCTTATTGTTGCAGGAGTACCTTGGAGGTTTAGATTTTTCTTTTCCCTTGAGGGATTTCTGTTTTATTTTTCAGGGCAAGGAAGACAGTCTGGGAAACAAAACAAGTGCATGTGTAGTATCATTTAAATCACCTAGCTAAGGTCTGCTGCTAGAATGTGTTGTGTTTTTTTTTTGTTTTGTTTTGGTTGGTTGGTTGTTTTTGTTTGTTTTTTGGTTTTAAAAATGTTTGGAGGGAAAGAAAAGAAAATAGTAAATAATAAATATACTTGCCCTCAGACTGGGTTGTGAAATGCCTCCTAGAATGGATGGATGCAGCTGATGAAGTTAAAAGGATGTTCTGAACTATTTGTCTAAGCACACAGAAGAATTTATAAGACTTGACAGCTTTGGATGTTCTTTAGGTTTTAATAGCATTCTAGGGAAGAGCAGTGAAAGCCATCGATGATTGTGGCATGCTGGCAATTGGCATCTGGAGGTAACAGGAGGAGCCTGAATTGTCTCCATAAACAGTCATGAAAGGCAGCAAGCTGAACCGTGAGGTTGTGATGTCAGTGTAGCTATTAGGGAGCATATGTATTTGGTGATTTTTGACTATTGGAGATGGAAACAGAATCCAAACATTTTGTCTAAAAGTTATATGGTAGAATATGACTTCACTGCATCCTTGTTCTGAAACAAACAAACAAACAAAAAAAAAAAACAAAACAAAACAAAACAAAACAAAAATTTTGTAAAATGCAATAGTTATTACAGTTTTGTTATTTAGTTATTCTTTAAGATAAAAAAGCTTATACGTTTGTTCTGTGAAGACACAACAGATGAAAGTAACACGAGGATTCTTATTCCCATTTTTATTGTTTCTCTATTTACACTCTTTGTGATAAGTACTACTTAAAAAACATAATTAATGAGACAGGAAGTGTGAGGTTCTTTAAGACAGTTACCTGGCACTGTCTTCAGCCTGCTTCTCCGGGGAATGTTATTTTGATTATTTGTCTTCTGTTTCAGTCACTGTGGGGCTGACGTCATACTCTCACTGTCAGAGGAATTGTGCAGCAAGAAACCTGTGCTGTGACAGCCTCCTTCCCTGGTAAGCACAACATAAAATTCTGGAGAAGCTCCTTTCTTTCTTATGGTCTACTCTGAACTGATCATATCCCCTTCAGAACTGCAGTTTTTCAGAAGGTGAGTCTGGCAGATCTCTTCTGCCTATTGCATGACCACCTGCAGGTGCACATGGTTTTTAAATTCTCTCTTAGGGTTCTGCTAAAGGATCCCCCACTTCCACGTATGGAGGAAAGGCTCTTGGACTGGAAGGGAAAATTCATGATGATTAGTTTTATTTTACTGGGAGAGGGTGCGATTTGCTCTGAGGGACTCTTGTCACAGAATGGGCCACTCTGTCACCATGGAGCAATCTCTGTCACCACCAGAGCAATCCCTTGCTGAGCTGCGAAAGAGACCTATTTGTTCATTTGATCTACGTTTCCTTGCTGCCTTAAAGGCCATCTTGTGAACACAAATGCACATTTTGGGGTATGAGAGAAGGTGTACACAAGGTGGTAAGTGGCCTTTCCACTTCATGGCAGCTCAGCCCACAACTGATTCTGAGGAAGACTAATTTATTCTCATCCTTAATTAGGCTGTCACCAGATTTCCTATAGAGATTTCAAGATGCATATGAGAATGTACCACAAACCTGACTACTGGTCTCAGCCCACCGACATCTCTGAAGAACTCCTTTATGAGGAAGATGTGACCATTGAAATGTCTCAATCTAGTCCATGTGGGTATAGGGTTGCACCCTCTTTTGCCCTGGTGAAGGTGAGGGACATGGTTACAGATCCAAGCCAGAGGTCCCCTGGAGTGAACAAATGCAGCTTGAAAACAGCGTGCATTCACTCTGGAAAGCCCTACAGAGATACTAGCTGTAGGCTGCTGAAGTATCTGGAATGGTGGTCATCACGTTTCACCAGCTGAAATATTTAGACAGTGCAATCTGCAAGGATCATAAATAGGAATATTAAATTCTTGAAAGAGCAATACAGGAAAATATTTCTCTTATGAAAATCATAAACAAATGCAGCTCCTTCCAAATCCCAACATCTTCTGAAACTGTTCTCTGAACAGAAACATCTGTCACTTGGATAAGACCAAGTCTCTTTTAATATAACACAGCCTCTGATTTTTTTCCTCCCCTAATCGCCTTTTAGCTTTGCTTTTGGCTGTGCCAAGGATCTGTGTTGAAATTGCCATTTCTCAGCCATATGCTGCAGTCACAGCAGTATTTTGAGTTGTGGCTGATCACCCCCAGGAAGATCTTGCTCTGTTAAAGAGATTTTGGAGAGCAGAGTTTTTGGGGGAGGAACAGTGCAACTAGTGGCTTTCCTCTAAAGACATCAGAGTTGAAATCTGAATGAAAATGACTGGAGTTGAATGCATTGTCAATGGTTTATCACTACAGCCAGACACAGTAGACCAAAAGTTTACTCACATTAGATGGATAAACAGTGCTTTAGGAAAAAAAAAAAAAAAATCATTTCCTCTGGTTTTGCAGACTTGAGAGTGGATGTCTGAGTTTCACAGTCTCCCTCTTTTCCCCATCCTTCCCCCCTGTCCGGACATGTTCTGGAGGAAAATGAGTCCTGTGGGTCTTACCAGTTTCTAAATCTTGCACAGTTTCCTAGTCCCTTAGTGTCTTTCCTGGAGATTAAAACTTAACACTTGATATTTACAATTATGTGGAGACAGAAATGTGCTACATTTTCTCTGCAGAATATACTCAATGAGCACCTGTGAGGGTATTTGAAGTATGTTGTTTGGAAAGAGACACGGCCTTGTTCCTTTTCTGCCAAGATTTTAGAAGTGGCATCCGATTTGGGATATTTGGCTCCAGATAAAAGCTAGGACCTAGTTTACAAAGGGGTCAAATATTTACAACACCTAAAGACACTGGGAAATTCTGCACACTTACAGTGGTAGGTGCTGATGGCTGTCCTGCTCCTGCAGGACAAGCAGGCAAAGATGATGCTCGTGCATACTGATAAAGTGCTTTGACAATGTTATGTGCATGGTTGAACATAAGAGTAGATGTAGGAGGAAAATCCTTATCAGGACTCCAGGCTGAGTGCAAACTAAGACCAGTGTTCACTTTCTGCGGAGTGGTGGCTTTCTCTCTTGTTTTATTTGTGTGTCCCTAGCAAATTTGCAGGGTAGCAGGCTCTCCCATAAAGCAAATGTTAGTTGCCTGTTAATAGCTTTTCTTTTCTAAGCCTATGAAGATACCTGAGTACCAGGACTGAAACTTGCTCCAGAGCACCCTGTTGTGAAGAGTGTCACTGAATAAGATAAAGGGAAAACCTCTCTGAAACAGTTTGAAGGCTATTCTTCTGCCTCTCAAAGAAAGTGTCACCTCCTGCTACTATGAGCTCACTTCTTTCTCATTGCTAATCCTATTTTAGCTGCGGAGAGGTATTAAAGGCCTGGACTCCTCTCCTGCTTCCCACAGAGAGATGCTGGCCCTTTGGTAATGGTTAAGCAAAGATCTCTGGAGCAGGGCTTGGGCAACAATCCTAATGCACAGGGTAACCTGGCAAAGACCCCTGTGCTAATTGGCAGAGGCAATGGGAGTGACTGGGCAGCACCAGGGGAAGGGTTAGAGGAACTCCAAAAAAAAGGTTAAATACTTCTGGTGCTGCTCGTGTTAATGCAGAGGCACTCGAGTTACATACATTGTACTAAGTTGTAAGCAAGTGGCTTCACAAGCTGAGTAAAAAGAAGTAGTTAACATCCATCCTGAACAGTTGTCACCACCGTTTCTGTGTGACAGGGAGGAGAAGGGTGGCATTTGTAAGGCAGACTCACAGAACCCATAGTCCTTGTGGGTGCTTTGTTAGCTGACTGAGTGATGCACTTTTTTTCCATTAAACCTAAAAAGTTAGGTATTATTACTATTATTAGCTATTATTATTATTACTAGGCTCTATTTATAAGCAAAAATCTCTTGCAAATCTAATGGCTGAAATATAAATGTCAAGAAGTTTTCTTCTAGTTAATCGGCTGAAAGCTTCCAGAACCACCCTCCCCACTCCAATCAGCCCACCCGCTAATTTTTGGAGCATTACAAAAAGAATTGCAGCTAGAACAACAGTGTCACCTTCTGGTAAGCGAAACGACTGCTCGTACCTTCTGTTGGCTTCAACTCCACTGGACACCACGGATGGCTTTTGTGCGTTCAGTGAGAATACCAGTCCTCACTTTTACATTAAAGGTGACAAAGCGGTGATGTGGAGTTAGTAGCAGACTCAGATATGACAGAATTTTTTTGAGTTTTGCTTAATGATGAATAATAGAATGACTTTGGTGATACAGCTCTATATTATATTATTTTAATGCAGTTTTAAAATCGGGGCTGATACTGTGCCGCATTTTGTTATGTGTTTGGTGTTGGTTAATAACACATAAATGTCTAATGTGGGTATCACCTACTAACCTTAAAATGTTCATTTAAAATTCTGAGATTCTTACACTTTTGTATATGTCTAACATGTGTGTATTTATCTCATAAGAATAATCAAATGAGTGATCACATGGAAGCAAATGGCAAGAAAAGCAACACTGGGCAGGAAACATCTGCAGAAGGAAATGTCTCTCCTGCCAAGGACTGCTCAAAAACCCAAAAAAGACTGGTATGACTTCTGTAGTCCCATTTTGTTGTCAAGATCCTTGCCATTTGCCTTCAATTTCTTTCATGATTATAAAAATAAAAAGCTGGACTCATAGGGAAATATCGGTAATGACAACAGCAAAATAGTCAAGTTTACAGGGCAGTAAGACAGAAGGCTAGGAGTATTTCAGAGCTCTAAGTAAATGTGAAAGAAAAAAAAAAAGTATTCTTAGAGGGATAGCTTATGATTTGTTTCCAACTTGAAATCACATTCTTTATGATCACAGGCTGTGATGATACTGGAATACATCTTCTGCACCAAAAATCTACCTCGTGCTCCAAAGCAGAAATGTCTGAATAATGTAGGTGCATGAGATTGCCCAGTTAGTTTTCATGAGAATTCAACTGAAGATGCACAGCACCAATGACCTGTAGTAAATAAGTCACTAAGTCACATCCGGTCACTAGTGGCATTCCCCCATTCCCCAGGGTTTGGTACTGGACCAGTCCTCTTTAATATCTTTATTGATAATCTGGATGAGGGGATCGAGTGCACCCTCAGTAAGTTTGTAGACAACATCAAGTTAGGTGCATGGTTTGATCTGCCCAAGGGGAGGAAGGCTCTGCAGGAGGATCTGGATAGGCTGCACCAATGGGCTGAGGTCAACTGCATGAAGTTCAACAAGGCCAAGTGCCGGGTCCTGCACCTGGGGCGCAATAACCCCAAGCAGAGCTACAGGCTGGGAGATGAGTGGTTGGAGAGCTGCCTGACAGAGAAGGACCTGGGCATAGTGTTTGATAGTCGGCTGAATATGAGCCAGCAGTGTGCTCGCTCAGGTGGCCAAGAAGGCCAATGGCATCCTGGCTTGTATCAGAAGCAGTGTGGCCAGCAGGGCTAGGGAAGTGATTGTCCCCCTGTACTCAGCTCTGGTGAGGTCACATCTCGAGTACTGTGTTCAGTTTTGGGTCCCTCACTACAAGAAGGACATCGAGGTGCTCAAGCAAGTCCAGAGAAGGGTGACAAAGCTGGTGAGGGGTTTGGAGTCTTATGAGGAGCAGCTGAGGGAGCTGGGGTTGTTCAGCCTGGAGAAAAGGAGGCTCAGGAGTGACCTTATTGCTCTCTATAGGTACCTTAAAGGAGGCTGTAGTGAGATGGGGGTTGGTCTATTCTCCCACTTGCCTGGCGACAGGACAAGGGGGAATGGGCTAAAGTTGCACTAGGGGAGGTTGGATTTTTTTTAGGTTGTATATTAGGAAGAACTTCTTTACTGAAAGGGTTGTTAGGCATTGGAATGGGCTGCCCAGGGAAGTGGTGGAGTCAACATCCCTGGAGGTCTTTAAAAGACGTTTAGATGTTGAACTTAGTGATATGGTTTAGTGGAGGACTTGTTAGTGTTAGGACAGAGGTTGGACTAGGTGATCGTGGAGGTTGCTTCCAACCTAGACAATCCTGTGATTCTGTGAAGTGCATTCAAGTGCATGCATATTTCTAAATCAGTAGATTGGAGTGACCTGCCACTGTTTTCTTCATGAGAAACAGTGAAGGAACTCAGCTGATTTTGAAAATCACTGTGGATTCTGAAAGGATCAACACCCTCCACAAAAGCCGAGAGGTGGCAACTCACCTCCATTTTAAAAATAAAATATCAATTTGTATGTACATTTATACCTGTGCATAATAAATTATAACTGAATATATAATGTCCACAGTCATTGTCTAAAGAGAAACTGACACAAAGCCCGAGATGACTTTAGAAATGACTGTCAACATACATGGGCTATGTGCAGTCACAGGAAACAGAGCTGAAGTTTTACCCCCAGAACTATTCAGCAGTTTTAGATAAGTGTAAACATGAATTCTATAAAGCATGCAAGAAAATACTTCCTCCTATATCTCAGAAACTGTGTCTTTACTAAAGGTGTTTAGTTTAGCTTCTTTACTTTTGTCTGTGCTTGTCCCTTGGTTGTCACTTACCAAATACACTAGCTGCTTCTCCACACATTTCCTTTGTCCCCAGACTGTTTGAACAAAGCAGAGTTATAGTCACCTCAGTGAAGATAAGGGCCAATCCAGCTGAGATGTGAATGATTGTATTACTTGTTTTTACATAATCAATCAAGTTGAAGAAAAAATATGTGATTTCTGCCTCCCACAAGACAACTTTCAAACCATGCCACTGTACCCAAGTAAGAATCTCTATTCAGTCCTGACTGACTGTTCCCTGTCCTGTTAGGTTCTACATTTTTAGTCAATGGAATAATCAATTAACAGCTAGACAAGGAAATATTTAAAACAATATTACCTTAATTTACATGTATGTTGAGTTTTGCCTCACCTTCCTATCTGTGTTGTTTTGAGTTATCAAGAATACTTACTGTCATTTGGAAGACAGGGAGGGCATTTGGTAGCTAGTAAATGTTTGTTCTACCTACAGAACTTTTTGTAACATTGCTCTTGTTTGTTTTTCTTAGCAACAAATCGAGAGACAACTAAAATTCTTAGCTTTTCAAAATCCAGGACCTCAGGTAGCTGACTTCAATCCTGAAACCAGAGAGCAGAAAAAAAAAGCGTGCATTTCACAGATGAACCAAGATTTTTTTAATAAGCCCAAGTAAGATATAATTTATTATATATTTCTATTTTAAAATGGCTATCATGCTGTTTACATTACATTATATTTACATTTATAAATGGAATGAATAAATGCATTAATATTTTTCAGAGTGATTTTTTATTACACATGAAAGCAGTTCTGGGAAAACAAACAAACAAACAAACAAACAAACAAAACAGTCTCTAATAATCACTTTTTCTTTGCTGTTGCAGAATTATGAAGAAGTATGACAAACATGGCCGGCTGCTTTGTAATAACATCGATTTGTGTGACTGCCTGGAAAAGAACTGCCTGGGTTGCTTCTATCCTTGCCCCAAATGCAATTCAAATAAATGTGGACCAGAATGTCGCTGCAACAGGAAATGGGTTTATGATACAATTGAGACTGAAGCTGGGAATGTGATCAGTGCTTTCCCATTTTTTATCAATGACTGATTTTGGGCTGACAGCTTTGGTGCCTGAGCAAAGTTCTAATTTCTTCACATTTTGTTAAAGTATATCTTGACTTTGTGAATTGTCTCTAGTGAAATATCTGGCAGTGGTGCTTGTGCTTCTTTATTGCTGCCTACCTAGCATACTTGAACCTTTCACATTAAATAAAAACATGCATTTCATTCTTCCATAGCCATGTGAGCTTTTCTGAGGCACCTAGTGAGTTCTTTCTGAATCCTGACTTTCTTAAAATAAAGGTGTATGGACTGCTGTGGACAGACGATTTTCTTACCCTGGGGAGCGGAACCACATTTCTTGTAACCTTTTTTTTTTTTTTTTTCCAATCTCTCCACTTGTGCATTTACTCAGACATGTGACACATTCTTTTGTGAACACTTACCCAGGTGCCTTTCCCTTCTGATGCATTCATGTGTTGTATAGATTAAGTGGGAGTTATTTGAGCTAACACTGTCTTCTAAAACTAGGTCACCACCTTCTGTGTCACCCAGTATATAAAGAGGAGGAGAGTGGAAACTACTTGTCAGCTCTTTCTTGTTGTGTCCAGGCTACAAGACATTTTTTTCCCCGGCATTTTTTTCCCATCATCAGCATATGGTGCACTCTCCTCGACCAGTCATTAATTATAGCCCACACTGGAAATAAAGGGATTAGATATTTTTGCCTCTGGGCAGAAAAAGTCTCTTCAGTTCCAGAAGTCTTCTTCTTTCTAAAAGACATTACAGATTTCAAATACCACAACAGACACCCTGTCTTTTTAGGAGGTAGCTATTTTCATTCATAATGGGCACTCAGGGTCTCCTCTTACACCATTTTTAAGGAGTGAGGATCCTAAATCATGCAGGCTGTCCCAGACCATCTCAAATTGCATACTGCTAAGTGGGGGAATCATCCTCTGGGCCCACTGCTTGTTTTTCCTGAAGTGGCTCTCTGAATTTTGAAATTGGTAACATTTTTCTTCCCTACATGAGACTGTTGCCTGTGGACAGAGGCCCCCTGCTCCAAGGTACAGGTATCTCCCTGTAGGAGAAAATTCCTAGAACAGACCCCAAAAATACCTTAACATCAGAGCCTACTTCTGAGTTGATACCTCAGAATGATTTTTTGTCCCTTGCAGATAATGACACTTTAATACTTAAGCTTGTAGCATAAAAAGACACAGTACCAAGAAACTTAATAGTTATATCTGCTATGGTGGTTAAAATGCTCTATATTTGGCTCTCAAATCTGATCCTGTTACCTCAGATACCTCCCTGGTCCCAAAGTATCCTTTGACCTGTACTAGGAGTCCAAGAAGTCCACGACTACCTCTGAACCATATTCTTTTATGGAGGGTGGAAGTCTTACCAATATACTCAGGTTTGTCAATGGTTTCTTGTTCCAGGCATGCCACAAACTCCTTCTGAACTTGACAGAAGAAGCAGCTGTTGAAGAACATGAAGATGGCAGGAAGATGTCAGACTTTCTTTAAAATAATTTGGACAGATTTGAGCGAGCTCTTCTTTCCACTTAGAGGCAAAAAAAAATAAATAAAAATGTTTCTCAAGTGAATTCCTGTGGTAAAGTTACATTTTAAATTATATGTGTAATGTGATTAAACACCATGTGTAAGTATTCAGAATCCCGTTATTGAATTAATTAATTTTGCTTTATGTTTTCACACTCCCTCAGAATCACGGCCAAATGCAAAGGGTGAGAACTCTGTCACTAACACATTCAATGCAACCTTGAAAATATCAAAAAAACAAACACAAAAACAAGAACGAAAATCTGCAAAAATCAGAAGTGAGACCCAGGATAGGGATAATGAAAATGGGAGAAAGATGCAGAGGCACATCTGTTGAGGTTTGGGAGTGACTCCTTATTGTAGCAAGGAATGGCCCTACTAACTTTTCCCTTATTTCCAAGTTGGCAGCTGATTGTGAACAAATATAACCACTATTAGGACATTCAGACACAGGAAGAATAAGGAAGGAAGGGAGGGAGGAAGGGAGGCAGAAAGGAAAGAAGAAGAAGACTGTCACTGTTGTGGTTCAGCCCTACCATGCGGCTGAGCTCCACACAGCCACTTGCTCACTCACAGCTCCTGGTGCACCTCCAGCCTCCTCTCTGGTGGGGCAGCACCACAAGCTGAAAAGTCCTTGGCCCTGTGTTCTGCAACAACTGAAGCATTGCTATGTTATCAACCATATTTTCACCACAAATACAAAGCACAGCACCACATGAGCCTTTATGAAGAAAATTAACTCTATCCCAGCCAACATCAGGAGTCAGCTTATGCTTATACTAGTTGTGAAATTTAGTGGTAGATGCATGTATATAAAAATTACAAAGTTCCCACATCTGATAGCTGCCATTAAGCAATTACCTTATGCCACACTGGATGACACCGTGGTTACAAATAAAATCCACTAGCAGAAAAGGCAGAGGACATTTCTCAGCCTCTTATGAAAATGCCTGCTCTCCAGATGACACTAGATCATCCTTTTACCTTGTCAGTCTAAACAGAATGTTTTTCCTTAAGGAATGGGTTTGTTTTAGAAAGCTAGTACTTAAAATGATAAGGGGAGGCAGATCAGTGAACTGTTCCATGAGGTCTGTCATTCCTTCTCTCTCTAGATTATGCAGGTTAAACAGTTCATGATACTGTCAGTTTACTTAGCATATCTGCTCCTTGTCCATGTGTCTGCTTTTGCTCACCAGTGATCCCACAGCAGTTTAAGGAAAGATGAAAGCACAGGTACACATCAAAGTATAGCCTACCTAAGATACCATCTGTTTGTCTCTTGCCTAAAAATTGATTCAATTTAATCTGAATTCATTGTAGCTTCCAGTCTATTTCTCTTGACTGACAGTTGGTGTGCATCTGGAAGTAGATATTCACCTTCTGCTTTCTTAGTTGTTATCACTGCAGGGAAGTATATGTCATATAAATGAATAATGTGCTCCTGTACAATTTTTGTGAAGGTAAAGATGTTCTTTCTCCACTAACTTCCCACATGCTTAAGCATTGTGCTATTGAGATCCTTTTTTCTGAAGACTCTACTGCACATCCTCTGCCATTTTTAAACTTGAAAATTCCGAGAAATAGATAGAGCTATAGAGCTATGAACATAACCTTGCTGTTTTGCCTCATTTTCCAGTTAGACTTTAAGCTAGACAGACACTGAAGACAAGCAGCATTCAACAATTTCTCTATACTTTTAGATATAATAAGTTGTCACAGCTGTGAGTAAAAAAAAAGGAAAAAAAAAAAAGAAACTAACCAGCCAACAAAACTAAACCAAAACACAACAACAACAACAACAAAAAGCAGCTCTCCTTGCATATTGCAAGGAATACTTAGAGCTGCTTCCAAAACAACAGCCAATCTAAACAAAATGTTAATAAAACTATTATTATGTGGCTCAAAGTGGCCACAGTGAAAGTCAAAGCCATTAAGTATTATGCCTTTGGACGTGAAGGTGTGCTAAAGAGAAAGACCCCTTGAGGTTTTATCAGACGAGTTAGAAGATGGGAATTTTGAATAAGTCAGTCTATCCCCTGTATTGCAACAATCTCCATCAAGAGGAAAAGAAAGGTTACTCTCATAGAGGAGTCCCTTCTGAGAGGAACAGAGGGCCCAATGTGCTGTCTGGATCCAACCCATGGGGAAGTCTTCTGCTTCCCTCAGGCCTAGGTCAGAGCTAATAAAGGGGTTGTTGTTGTGGAGTCTACTATAGACCACCCAGCCAGGATGATGACACTGATGAATCATTTTTAAGGAACTCAATGATACCTATAGATCAGCCACCCTTGTCCTTAGGGGTTACATCAGCTTGCTAGATGTTTACTGGGAATACCACACAGCTAATACACATGGGTCCAGGATGTTCCCAAAACACCAGGATAATAACTTATTGGTACAAGTACTTAGGGAGACAAGTAGGAAAGGTGCCCTCCTAGATCTGTTGCTTGTGAACAGAGAAGGTTTCATTGGTAAAGTGGCAATCAGTGGTTATTTGGTCAAAGTGACCATGAAGTAGTCAAGTTTAAAATCTTTGGCGATAGGAGGAGAACTGCCACCAAAACTTCAACCCTGGATATGGGGAGAGCAGACTTCAGGCTGCTCAAGGAACAGTTAATAAGGTCCCCTGGGAAACTGCATTTGAGGGCCTTAAAGTCCATCAGTGCTGGTCAGTTTTTAAGTACTACCTCTTCAGAGCACAGGAACAGGCAATTTCAAAATGTTGAAAGTCAAGCAGGCAGGGCAGAAGGTTGGTCAGGCAGAGCAGGGATCTTCTAGAGCTTAGGTAGAAACAGAGAGTGCACAGCCACTGGAAGTGAGGTCACGCAACATGGGAGGACTAGTAAGATGCTGTTTGCCTCTGTAGGTGATAGATAAGGGTGAGAAAATTTGTACGGCCAAGGCTCAATTAGAGTTGAAACTGGCCAGTACTGTGGAGAACAATAAAAATTTTTTGTTTTTGTTTTTTTGTTTGTTTTGTTTTGTTTTAAATATATGTTACCAGCAAAAGGAGAACCACAGCAAACATTGCTCTGTTACGTGATAAGGACTGTCACCTCACAAACAGAGATAAATAGATAAAGCAGAGACCTTTACCTTATTCACTTTTTTGCCTTCTTCACCTCTGTCTTCAACACCAATGATGTGCTCTGGGATCCCAAGTGCCCTGAGCTGGAGGACTGTGACTACAGTAAATTCCCAGCCAAGCCCAAACTTGCGCGGGACTTGCTTCTCCTGCTGGATGCATGGAAGTCCATGGGGACTGATGGGATTCGTCCCAGGGTACTCAGAGAGCTGGCTGATGGTATTGCAACATATCTCTCCACTATTTTTCAATCATCTTGGGAATCTGAAGAGAATCTGGGTGTTTTGGTCAGAAGCAAGTTGAATATGAGTCAGCAGTGTGCCCTGGGATCCACAAGAGATAACCATACCCTGGGGTGCAACAAGCATGACATTGCTAGCCAGTCAAGGGGAGGGATTGTCCTGTTCTGCTCTGAGGATGCTGGTGCACCCCCACCTCGAGTACTACGCATGTTTTTGGGCACCACAGTATAAAAAGTACATAAAACTGTTAGTGTCCAAAGGAGGGCTTCAAAGACATTGAAAAGTCTGGAGGGGAAGGTGTATGAGGAGCAGCTGAGGTGCCTTGGTTTGTTCAGCCCAAGCAGAGCAGGCCGAGGGGAGGCCTCATGGCGGCCTGCAGCTCCCTCAGGAGGGGAGCGGAGGGGCAGGCGCTGAGCTCTGCTCTCGGGACAGCGACAGGACCTGAGGGAACGGCATGGAGCTGGGACAGGGGAGGGTCAGGCTGGGGGTTAGGGAAAGGTTCGGCACCCAGAGGGTGGTCGGGCACTGGGACAGGCTCCCTAGGGCAGTGGTCACTGCACTGAACCATACAGAGTTCAAGTAACATTTGGATGATGCTCTCAGATATACAGTCTGATTTCTGGGTGGTCCTGTGCAGAGGCAGGAGTTGGACTTCCATGATCCTTGTGGGTTCCTTCCAACTCAGGATATTCTATGACTCTGTGATAAGAAGGCAGACTAAAACTGTCTCTCAAATCAAAGGACAATGTCACCGCTAAGTACTGCAACACAAGGGTTTACAGATAGACAGCTGTAGGAAGGCCATAACTTCTGTGTGTTCATCTGTTTCCATACTGATACATGGCAAAATAATGCTGACTTTTCCTTGTACAATGCTTGCAAATCCTTCCTGCAGAGTTGCACACTCAAAACCAACTTTTATTTTTTATTTATGTATAACTCATCTGATTTAAAGACTCCATGAGTATTCATCTACAGTTATATATGTATACTAGCATGAAATGAAATAAACACTCGGAATGGAACAGATTTTACCACTTTAAAACAATAGGCAGAAAACTGAGATATTTTTTTTTTCCCCAAAGCAAGCTCCCAAATCTTGTATGAAGTGCTACAGGATTCCTGTCTGCCTTAAGACCTGATTGATTCTAGGTAACTGCAGTAAAGTGACTGGTACTTGGATTACCTTTAGTGCTTCAAAATGATGGACAGTTAGTCCTGGGAGATGTCAGACCTGTGACTGCAGAAAGTCTAGATACTTCAGTCACAATGTCCAACCACTAAACTGTTCCTCCTGCCTTCAAATGAACTTCTGCATATTGGCACAGCGCCATTCAATTCTATTGCATTATTTAGAGAAAAATGAGTCCATGGCATTATTGAACTTACATTAGTATGTGCCAGCATTTGTTGAAGTAACTCTATAATTTGCCAGCCTCTGATTCATGCAAACACAGAAACCCATAAATTTTTTTTTAAAAGTACTTTGAAATCTTTTCCAGATAGTTTCCATGGTCTTTTTAACCTCCTAAAAGAGCACAACAGAACTTTATATACATTCAAATGAAAGTAGAATATAGAGTTGATAGAATTCAGTGGGAAAACCAGAAGAACTTGACTGAAGAAATACAGATTGATACTTTCTAGATATTTAAATATGCCTTAAATAAATATTTGCACCAAATTGATTACAGTTGTTGAAGCTCTGCTGAATTTCTTAGCTAGTAAGAGCAATACTGATTGTAGCTTTTCCTTTAACATGTTTTTCATAATCTTATAACATTGTTTCAGTGGATGATTTTGTTTGATTCCATTCTGTTAGAGAAATGGATACATCAAGTCTAAGCTAACAATTTTAAATATGCTAGAAGGCCACAGTTACATTCCATTAACTCTAGTTTATAATCTTCACATGAACCATCGAAAGATTTTCCATCCTATTATTTGTAGAGGGAAATATATTTTTTACCCACTAGCCTGACCATGCCAATACTGACCTGCTTTTACCTCCACTCAGGTGCAAATGTATGAATGCTGTTCCCTTACAGGATCATGTCTGTTCATGTTATAATGGAATAAATCGAAGTCCATTGTCCATGACCAAATCTCCTGTGTACTCACAGTTGCATTTCATTAAAGGAGTAGGCTGTGCAACTCTGATTTCTGTTGCGAGTGACGACACGATCCAAATAATTTTACTCCGTTCACATGAATAGATGTGAGTGTTCACATATAAGCATAAAAATAGTATATAATAAACTGACACATAGGACTGATAAAGTGAGAGTCCCCCACCCTTATTCAATTTGAGCAGAACCCTGTTGATTTTAACGAGATTACTCACTCAGTGGAACTCAAATAATGGCATAGAAAGAATGGCACATTGTTTCTTAATGGTAACAGTCATAGCCAGCAACAGGGAATTATTTATTTCCGACAGACATGATCTAACTGAAACACTTAAAATACATTTTATTTTATTTTTTTCTCCAACAAGATTTGCAGAATTGTGCTATTTAATATTAGGTAAAAACCCAAATTCAATTCCTGCCACACAATTTTATAGTTTGCTAACTGAAATTGCTTAAGCCACCTGTGAGATAATAGTTAGCAAATGAAAATTGATGTGAAACATTACTATTTTATTTTCACTGAGTTGTAGGACAATTATTTAGTCAGTAAATGTCAGGGACATTGTACAAATCATATCCTGAAGGAGTTCCAAACACTTTTGTAAAGAACCTTTAGAATTGTGGAAATAAGGAAAAATAACTGTGGTAACTGAAAATGAACAGAATGACACTGCAAATAACAGCCTGTGGCACTAAAAGTGGACCAAAAGGACACAAGAAAACAGAGCAAATTATATGCTCAAAGAAAAGAGGTACTGGTAGGCTTTCAAGAGCCTGTTATCCTCAATACTAGATAACCTTTACTCACATTCTACATTTTTACTGCCCACCTGTCTTGACAGGTTTTTTGTCTCTCTATGCTTTAAAACCTCTAATGAAAGAACTTTTTAAACTACCTTATGCAATACATTACAATGCTTAAATAACCTAGTGTAGAAAGTATTCTGTAATTCCTAACTTTACATCCTTTTCATGGTCTATATAGTCTGTTATCTCTGATAGTCATACAAGTATTTTAAAAAGAGATCATGTCAGAAAGAGATACCTAAATGCATTCTAGCTTAACAGTTAGGTGATGAGAAAAGTCTGTAAAATAAACCATAGGAAAGTAACACAAAGGTTTGTTCAATATTTGTGAAAAAACAGAATACACAGCTCAATTTCTGGAAATGCAAAGCAGGTGAGCCTGAGCTTTTCAAGACAGTTTTATTGCAGTAAGATTCCTAACTCTCATTGGCAGTTAAATGCTCTGAAATCTCAGTCACTGTGCTTAAGATTTTGTCATAGGATCTGAGCAGATTAATCTAATAGGCCCCACAACATTCATTTGCATGTCTAAATGGAACATTAGGGGTCAAAATTTGTTTTAACTATACGGATAGTTAAGGAAACTCATAAAATATGTTAAATTGGGTAATTTCACTAGCTCAGTGAAAAAAAATCTATTATTCACATTGAAAAATGTATCACAGATGTGTGCAAAGCAACAAGAAATGAATGGATGTACGTGTCATCATGACTTTTTATAATTTATTTTTATGAATAAATAATGCCTTTCTGGCAGTAGCCTGTAGTAGCCTGTAGTACTCATTGCTGTGTGTTATTTATTTTCTACACGTTTGGTACCCTTTAAGAAAAAAAGGCATGAAGAAAAAAACATTTAATTGTGCACTTGAGAGTACCACCTCAGGTTCACTTCATTATTTATTATTTCCAATCAAGTCATCTTATTCCCGTCACTGAGTCTTTGATCACAGAATCACATCAGCCTCCAGAGGTCTCTAGTCAAACCTCCTGTGTGAAGCAGGTCCAGGTCGCGCAGGTTGCTCAGGATCATGTCCAGATAACTTTTTAATGCTTATTGTTTTGGCTACTCATTTCAAACATTCATTTGATGCAGCAAAGCGTGAAAGAAAGCACTTTAAAATATTACAACTTATATATACATTTATAAAAGCAGAGAACTGGCAGCAAACCCGAGTAGCACATACCATACCTGCATCAGCTAGAACTTTTTAAAAATAAGTAAGCAATTGTCTAGACTTGCAGTCTCGCTTGCTCGTTTTGACTGAACAATGTTCATAAAATTCTGTTCTCCGGGGATACTTCCTAGAACACAAACTTACGTTATTCAGCATGGAATGAAATACTCATTTTTATTTTCCAGCCAAACAAATTTATCACAAGAGTAGTGCCTTTTCAGTGCTCTATAAAGAAAAACAGATGAAATAGTTGACCATAATTACATTTCAGCCCAGAACAATAGCATGACAAATGTTGCTGCCTTTAGTAAGAGACTGCAGGTCCACCTTCTGGTAAGAGTTAGGACACCAGCCCTCAGCCAGGAACTCTCACTGCAAAGCTCCAGCTGGGTACAGCCAGGGCTGCTGCTCCTCTCATGCTGACAATGGTTTAAGGAGGCCCCCATCTGCACAGGCCATGGCTGAAATCTCAGCTGACCTTCTGCCAGAGGGTGGGAAGGCCCTGCAGAGGGACCTGGGCAGGTTGGGTCCAGGTCCCTCTCAGGCAGAGGACAATGGGATGAGGTTCAACATGGCTAAGTGCTGGGTCCTGCACTTTGGCCACAACAACCCCATGCAGCGCTGCAGGCTTGGGGCAGATTGGCTGGAAAGCTGTGCAGAGGAAAAGGAGCTGGGGGTGCTGGTCGATGCTCACTTGAACATGAGCCAGCAGTGTGCCCAGGTGGCCAAGGAGGCCAACAGCATCCTGGCTTGTGTCAGGAATAGTGCAGCCAGCAGGAGCAGGGAGGAGATCGTCCCCCTGTGCTCTGCCCTGGTGAGGCCGCACCTTGAGTGCTGTGTGCAGGTTTGGGCCCCTCACTACAAGAAGGACATGGAGGTCCTGGAGCGTGTCCAGGCGGAGGGCACTGGGGTTGTTTGGTCTGGAGAAGAGGAGGCTCAGGGGTGACCTTACTGCTCACTACAGCTACCTGAGAGGAAGGTGTGGGGAGCTGGGGGTCGGCCTCTTCTCACAGGTAACTGGTGATAGGACCAGAGGGAATGGCCTCAAGTTGTGCCAGGGGAGGTTCAGGTTGGAAATGAGAAGACATTTCTTCTCAGAAAGAGCAGTCAGGCACTGGGACAGGCTGCCCAGGGAGGCGGTGGAGTCACCGTCCCTGGGGGTGTTCAAGGAGAGGCTGGATGTGGTGCTTGGGGACATGGTTTAGTGGGTGACACTGGTAGCAGGGCGATGGTTGCACCACATGATCTCGGAGGGCTTCTCCAACATTAACGATCCTACGATCCTATCATCTACCACTAAAATCCCGCCCACCCCTCGCCCCCACCCCGCCTCCCGCCATTTCCCCCCGGCGGAGCCCCGTCACGGCACCGCCCCGGGCGGCGCTTGGCCCCACCGCGCCGCCGTTGCGGGGCGGGGCGGCAGCGGCAGCCATGGCGGCGCCCGTCGTGCCGGAGACCGACAGGTAGCGGCTGCCCGGCACCGCCACCGCCACCGGGGCGGGACCCCCCGACCATCCCCCCCCCCCCCCCCTCCTTCTCCTCTCATCTCCTCCTCTCCTTCCCCGCAGCATCCGCCGGGCCGTGTCGCTGCTGAACGCCGTGGACCCGGGCCGCTTCCCGCGGCTGCTGTCCCGCCTGCTGCAGAAGCTGCACCTGAAGGTCGGGGCGGGCGGGAGGGGTCCCCATGGACGGGGCCGGGGCCGGGGCTGTGCCCGCAGGAGGGGCCGCTCCGGTGGGCGCCCCCTCTCCATCCCCCCCCCACCTCCCCGGGCCGTGCTGTGGCCGTGGGCCAGAGCCTGGGGAGGGGTGAGGTCGAAAAGAAGCCGCAAACAGGCGCTTTTGTCAGCTTTTCCTGCCAGGTTTTGTTGTGTTTTTTGCTGGTTTCGTTCACTTCTTTCAGCGGCGTGGCAGAAGGAACGTCAGGAGTCCGTTTCGCCCCACGGTCAAAAAGTCAAGTGGAGTTTAAATCTGGTTTTGACACAAAATGTTGCAGGGGGAAACAACGAGCAAAGTGTTAAAACAGAAATGATTTTGTTGAGGATTTCTTCCATATATATGTGTATATATACACACACACACACACACACATATATATATATATATTGTATATATACATATATATATATATACACACATATATATGGAAGAATGTGTGTATATATATGTATATATATGTATATATATACATAAATATAAATATATACATATAAACATAAATATATACATATATATACATATGTGCATATATATGTACACATATATGTACGTATGAATATATGTATTTGTTTATATGTACATATAAATATATACATATATACACAATATATATATTTATAAATAAATATATATATTTCAGTGTCACATTTTGCATATTCCCTTATTATTTTTTATTGTTTAGAAAGAAATAAGAAAGCAAACACAATCTGCTTTACGTACACATAAACACTAAAACATCACAGGTTAGAAGTAGCGCTGGCAGAAAATAAAACCTTACTACAGGTCATAGCTCCGAGGCTGTAAGGGCTATTTGGATTATTTGCTGCGATTCCCGATTTCTCCCTACCAAAATTACTAGCTTGCATGCTGCTGATATTGCAGTGTGGTTTCTAATGATTGAAATAACATTTCCATTTTGATATTCTTGCTACAAACTCTAATCACTGAAGTTTTTTTCTGTAATTGCCTCATTTTGTTTATTCTGACAGCTCAATTGCTTTTTTTTTGTGGAGCTTTGCAGTTTTGGCTTATTAAGTGGCCTAAATATGGTGTTTTGATGTTTGTAGCATCAACTATTAGTAATTACATTTGAAAAGATGACAATATCTGCATTTAAATTACTCTTTAATTTACTGTAGTATAATAAACATAACTGCTGTATTTAAAAGTACAGCACGTTCTTAGTAATATTCAGTAATATGGTGTGCTATAGATTGTACTGAAATCTGACTTTCAAAACAGCTTACATTAGGGCTTCATTTTCTCTGTAACAGCGTAGGCATTTTTCAAAAGGAGAATCTGGAGTGGAAGAAGCCTGCATAAGTAACTACAAAACTGCTTTGCCTTCAGTTTTCTTTGGAATAGTGCACTTCTTACTTTTCTTCCTTTTACTTGTAAAAGTTTATTGGAGACAATCTGATGTAGTCAAAAGATATGCATTTCCTTAGTAGCTCTCAAGTTAAGTAGAAAGCATTTTCTTGTGGTGTTTTTAAATTGATTGTGATAAAAGCCCACAGTATCGTGTAAATCTCATATTCATTGAGATAAAACATTGTATTACGTTGTCTTTTTCTACTGGAGAAGGGCTTTACTTTATCCATTTAGAAAAACAGGACAAATACTATGCTTATAAAAATGTGGAGAAAGCTTTTCTTTGGGCAAATATGTTTATGGCGGCCAAATGGAATGTCAGCAGTAACTATTTTTGTGCTTCAGGCTGAAAGTAGCTTCAGTGAAGAGGAAGAAGAAAAACTTCAAATCGCTTTTTCATTGGAAAAGCAGGATCTTCATCTAGTTCTTGAAACTATATCATTCATTTTGGAGCAGGTACATCATTTTTATCATTGTGAATTTTTAAATATATATTTTTTATCACATTGTGGATTTAAGATATAGATGTGAAGCTAAAAAGTAATTTGTGAAAACACGTATCTGTAGTAAATTATGCATATCTTGTGGGCATGATTTTACAGCTTTAGTTTGCACACTTTGCTGATCTGAATTGGACTCACTGCATTTGTGGGATGAGTTTCTAAATAAAGTAAATAAAGGCGATGGAAACCGCCTCTGTATGGCTGTGAGGGAAATACTGGTAATAAGGTGTAGTCTTTCCTCTTATTTGTAGGTGAGCAGTAAAAGAGCTGTAGTTCTAGTGTCTGTATGAGTAGGTGACCGCATGGTGTACAGCTAGGGGACTTTTACACAGTCCCACTGTTTCTACTGTGGTTTGCCACTCAGCCACCACTCAGGTGGGTTGCCAAGATACGACATTTTAAATAGGTAACTTTATCTTAGAGGTTGAGACAGCTGCAGTGTTGTTGATACAATACCATGCAAGTACAGTGAGTGCAGTCTGTGTTGGGCATGCAGATGGCAATCAGGTATGCCATGAGATGTGAATCGTCCTTTCCTGCACATGTCAATTTAACATGAGTTAGCTTGGTTAACATATTCCACGATATTAAAAAGAGAACAAACAGACAGTGAATGCATGAGAAGTTAAAAGAAACACTGGTCACATCCAGACTGGAATTTCGAAATTTCATCTCAGCCAGACAGGAGTTTACCTGTATTATTCTCTGTTCTTAATTTAATTTGTCTACTTTAGTATAATTACTGCAGGTGGATAGAAAGAGTAGTTATGCGTTCCAGGTCTTACTGTTTTTTTCAGTTAAAAAAAAAAAAAAGTACTGATCAGTCCAAAGAAGATTCTCAGGTGTGATACATGTTACATGAGGACACTTCTATGTTCCAACTGATTTTTTTTTTTTTAAATAGCTGCTTGTTTTGTCAAAGCATACATTTTTTAATAGCCTTTTGATCTATATGGACCCACAGAAATAAGGCTGCTGCATGGTTTTTGCTGTATGTGTTGATTTTTTTTTTTTGGGGGGGGGGGTGGGGGGGGGGGAGGGGAGGAATAGGGGAGTTTGAGAGGCTGATGGAGTCCTGTTTTTAAAGTGGAGGCCAGTCTATGATATAGAATGTTTATCAGTAAAATCGATGCTAATGTGGGTGTAATTGGGAAAAGCTGTCCTTTTTTCCTGATCACAGTTGGAAGCCTTTTTTTTTTTTTTTTTTTTTCAGTGATGGCAGCTTTAGCATATTTACAGTGGAGAAATATAGAGGTATACTGAGATGTAGTCTACATATACATTTTTCATAGTTTGTCTGTCTTGAGGAGACTCATTTGTAATACTGCACTTTGAGATATAATTGGGATAGTTACGCTCTGCTCAGTGAAAGGGTTAATATGAACAGGGTATTTGCAGTCCCACAGTAGAGTTGCTAATAAAAATCTTGGGTGGATATGATGGCCATCTGTGGTAGAATTTTGCTGGCACAATTTGTAGAACAATACTTCAACAATAGCAGTTATTTTTCATTCATACAGGCAGTTTATCACAATCTGAAGCCTGCTTCACTGCAACAACAGCTGCAAAGTATTCACCTGGATCAAGACAAAGCTGAAGCGTTTGCCAGTGCATGGGCAGCTGCAGGTCAAGATACAATTGAAAAGTTCAGGCAGAGGGTTTTGACCCCTCAGAAGGTAATTTATTTATTTATTTTTTTAATTTAAGAGAGTAAAGCTATATAGCTGTGTTTTAAAGCAAGAAGTCTAAAATACAAAATTGATGACAAGTCAAGGTGCTGAAAAACAAAACAAGAAGGGTACTTATTAGGTAGTGGATAAATGTGGTCAGGGTAGTGAAGTTTCATTGTATCTTTAGGTGTAAATGTACACATCTGTGAGCAGGTATAACATATGGTGATTCTTAATAAGCCTTCAGCTGCATTACGAGATGTGTATACAAAACTATCAGTGTCAGACAGGATCAAATAGTTCCACAAAACTGTTGAACCTAATTGTTCTTGCTTTACTTTTATTATTGCTATATATCTTGCTAGTATAAGATTGAGTTTGTTACTCTATGATTTGTTTAGTGAAAAGTACATAGGAAATAAATTTGATAGATAAGGAATACATGGTACACTGACAAAATCAGAACATAGTTTGTAGCAGCTTTTAAACTTTTGGGTGTAAAATGCACATTTTGGGAAGACAAGGCATGTCAGTGACAAAGTCTAAAGATATACACGATTGCATTGCAGTTGATTTTTTTCCAAGTACTTAAACTTGATCATTTGAAAAACTGGGTAATTTTAGACACACAACTTGTAGAGTTCTGCACATAAGAAAAATATACTAACTCGTGAAACTAACCAAGAAAATGGCTGATAATAACACATACACCAAAAAAGAAGAGTTGCACATAATATTTTTGGCTTCTGTTTTATTTTATTTTATTTTATTTTTTTTAATAATATTTACCATTGCCAAGCATACAACTTTCAGAGTTTAAATGGTCAGAGGTACGCTGATTGTATAGGTAAGTATGACTTTCCATTTGAGAGAAGTGAGCAATCTGAAAACAAAGTGGAATTATAAGTTTGTACGGTTAACTACTCAGAATATAACATGTGCTCAGAATGGGAGGTAATTCTGAAAGTACTGCACAAGAATTTTCTTGAGACAAACTATGCAGTGATCTCTGTTTTGTTGCTTGGTTTTCAACAAATGAGAATCTAGTGCAAGCAACTTTGGTCATCATTTATTTGGAATACTAGCTATGCTAGAACTTGTACCCTTCGCACCTGTGGTCCTTCTGTGACTTCCTTCGGGGATGACATTTCTGTGTTTGCATCTGCAGTTTTGTGTGAGGCCTGCAACATACAATACTTCTGGTGTGTTTTATGGCTTTGGAGACTCTTTGTGCCTTCACCACCATCTCATGTAATGGAATAACACTTGCTAGTGCTTTACATCCCATAGAACGTAGTTTTAAACTGTCATTTGTAATTACGCTTGCACAAAAGCAACTATAAAAATACAGTGTCATTCGCTTTTTCTTTTAACATTATTTACATAACTAGCCTGGATTACAAGTTGAGTATCAGCTCAAGTATGAATGTATGCCTTAAGGTGTAGTTTAATTGAACTGCTTGAATATACTTTCTCAGTATGTTTTGAAAAACCTGTGAAGTCTTTATTCTGTAGACTTCAGTGTAGTGAAAGACTATGAAGTTCAAGAGAGCATTTCCATAGCCAAAGGATTAAATTCACAGAGCTAATTGCTAAAGCACAGTATTTTTTTTATTTTTTTTCTGCTAACAAGGCATGTAGGAGGAAATATTTAGGGATAACAGAACAGGAACTAGTGATCTCCTTATAAGACACTACAAGGTGATTCATAAGACTATGAGTGTAGTAGATGGCTGCACAAGGCTTTCATTTATTCCCCTCTGTATTCTGTAAGTAGTTGTATATTAGCACATATTTGCTATGTTATCTTGGTGCACATTGAGAAATAGTGGGCTAAGTATTGTCTTAAGATATATTGTAGCAGCAAACACTATAAATTTTCATCAGTATCTCTTGAACTACTTTTTAAAAAAGTTGAAATACTGGAAAACACTTAGGGACTGATTGTTTTTTAGATTGGTTTTACAATTTAGATTTTCAGATTGATTTAGAGATTATGTTAGCTTCTTTAAAGAGGTGTATCTAACTACTAATACTCTCTGGAATGTATATATGTTTAAAACATTGTATAAAAGACCTGGTCCCATAAATGTGCCCTCCATATATAAGTACTTTACAAACTTGTTTATGTGGCTGTGTGCAAATTCCCAGTTTGCTCACTTCTCCCACAGAAGGAATATGTATATATGGCAAAAGGAAGTGACAGTTCTCTCCTCATACTTGCCACCAACATAATTGCAAAATAGTTGAGGCTGGCAGGGACCTCTGGAGGCCATCTGGTCCTCAGGCAAGGCTACGCAGAGCAAGCTGCCCAGGACTGTGTCCAGGACCGTGCCTAGGTGGCTTTTGAAGATCCAGAGGATGGAGACTCCATAGCCTCTCTGGGCAACTTGTGCCAGTCTGGGCTCAAGCACCCTCACAGTAAAAAAAAAAAAGTGTATCCAGATGGTCAAGGGAACTTCTCGTGTTTTGGTTTGTGCCCATTGATTCTTGTCTGGGCACTGGGCATAACTGAAAAGAGCCTTGCTCTTGCAGGGAGGAGGATATTTGCACCCCCCATTTCAGGTCTTCATATATACATTGATAAGATCTCCCTAAGCCTTCTCTTCTCCAGTCCCTTCATCATCTTCATGGCCCTTTGCTCGATTCTCTCCAGTATGTCCATGTCTCTTATGTGCTGGGGAGCTCAGAACTGGAACTGGCACTCCTGGGTGTGCATTCACTAGTGCTGAGTAGAGGAGAACGATCGTGTCTGTTCACCTGCTGGCAATGCTTTGCCTGATGCAGGCTCAGGACACCACTGGCCCTCTTTGCAGGAAGGGTGTGTTGAAGGCTCACGCTCAATGTGGTGACCACTAGGACCCACAAGCCATTTTCTGCCAAGTAGCTTTCTAGCTGCTTGCCCCCCTCCCGCCCCCAGCCTGTACTGGTGCCTGGGGTTGTTCCTTCCCAGGTGCAAGGCTTGTTACTTCCCCTTGTTGAATGTCAAGAGGCTTCTGCCAGCTCATCTCTCCAGCCTGTTCAGATCCCTCTGGATGGCAGCCCGACCCTCTGGCATCTCAACCATTCCTCCCATTTTTTTGTCATCTGCTGACTTGCTGCAGGTATGTTCCTCCCCTCCCCATCAGCCAGATCATTATCAAAGAAGTTAAAGCGGGACTGGATCCGGTATTGATCCCTTAGGTACACCATTAGTTACTGACCTCCAACTAGACATCACGTTACTGATAACCACCCTCAAAGCCTGGCCATTCAGGGCTGTTTTGGTCTGTTTTACTGTCTCCTCATCCAGCCTGTACTTCATCAACTTCTCTGCTAAAGCGTTAGGGGAGATGTTGTTGAAAGCCTTTCTGAAGTCAAAGTAAACAATATAACTGCTTTTACCTTGTTTACCAAGCCAGTTGTTTCACTGTAAAGGCTTATCAGGTTGCTCAGGCATGACTTTCCCATTGTGGACCCATGCTGGCTACTTCAGGTCACCCTTTTTGTTCTTTATGCACCTGGTAATGGCTTCCAGGATTAGCTGTTCCATCACTTTCCCAAGGATTGAAATGTGGCTTCCTGGCCCATAGTTCCCTGATTCCTCCTTTTTGAAGATAACATCGATGTTTGCTTTTTACAGGAATCTTGAATTTATTTTTTTAATTTCTTTGGTTTTCAGACTCACATTTATTCACGCTCTGTTTATGGATGAAGCTGAATTCACAATGATGCGTTTTTGGTCAAATCTTGTGCCCTGTAGTTTCATTGTTGATTCAGATTCTAGGAATTTAGGAGCTACTGTATGGAATGAGAAAATCTGTTCATTGTGTCTCCTGCCTTTGGCACCTCAGCTGGAAGTGTAGCAGTAGAATACTGAAGTTAACCTATTTGATGGAAAATTGCCTCGCTTCGTGACTTAGAAGCTCTCTTACATCCCTAACACTGATTGCTTACCACTTGTGAAATATCCTGCTTAATAAACACAGAGGTTTCAGATTGTGTACTGGCAGGATTTCTGATTTTTTACCACTTGAGTGCAACTTTGCTAAAGTGATATGTATTCATTTTAAAAAAAAAAACAAAACAACAGTATGCCTGTTAGCTTTTGATTTAATTGGTATTGCTTTTTTATTATGAGAAGTAGTAAAGAATAGTGCTTTTTTGTTGTTTTTCTTTAAATCTACATCATTTGATTTCTTACTCTGTCATTCTGTGGAAGTCTACTTGTAATCCTTTCTGATATGTCTCTGACATTTCTGCTGTATTTTGAAAGAAACTAATATGAATACAATATTCAATGAGCTTACATAAAATATTATTGTTTTTTGTAGTGGCTTTATAATATATATGTTTTTCTTTCATACTATTAAAAAGAGGCTTTCTGGTTGTCACTGCATATTTGGGAGGGACTTCTACTCACCTGTACAGGTGATGTTGTACACAAGGAGGTCCAGACACAAACCATTCATTTCTACTTTTAGGCAACATAAAATGGTTATCAGTTTTGGAGGTATGCTTTACACTTCAATCACTTGGAACTTTCAGATAAACTGAAGGAATAGCTGTGGATTGAGTGATTTATGGCCAAAATTAGTGGGTAGCTCACTGTCCAGTATTATTATTTCATAATACTAAGAATTAGTTTTGCTCACCACTCTTCTGGGAGAGTAGGCTTGCATCATTTAGCTTGCAGCAGTGCTTAGCTTTGGACTTCAGACCACTAGCTGTTAGGGGAAGTAACTTCTTACAGATATTTCACTAGTATCTATGTGCTTATAGTGTTTCTCTTAAGCCAAAATTGCCTGCAAGGTGTAGTAGTCTTCTGATTTCTGGGTCTGAGAGTTCTGTGCAATAGACATATGTGATAGTATACTGGCTGATAGCTTCATTAAGATGACAAGCCAAACTGAATTTGTTAGCACAACAGAACGATTATTTACCAGAATACTGCTTAGATGAAGAATACCAGTCTTTTCTATGACATACTGAACACTGCTTCTAATTGGTAGAAAAAATGTTATTTT